CCAGTCCATCGGTCTTATTAAAGTAAAAGCACTCTTACTCTGGGACTTACCGCCCAGCAGATCCTCTATTCAGCTAACTACAGGAAAGGTCCTCACCGGCCTTTTCGCTCAATCGGGACGGATAATGATTGCCCGAATCAGCCTCGCCGCGCACCTTAGAGCTGGCCGATCGCTCTTCTTTCCGTTTAACACAGCGGCTGCCTGATCAGCCATCCGCATTGAAGGATCTGCGATGCTGATCTACACGGTGGTGGACCTGAGAGCCGGCGAGTCGGGCGGCGGCTCGACATACCCGGAGGATGTCAAGAATGTGCTCGTGGAGATCCTCGCCCGTGTGTGCCGTGACATCGCACACATGCTCTCGCAGCGGGAGCAGCTGTCCATCGCCTGTGCAGGTGGGGTGGGTGAGAGAAACGCCGGCCGTTTGCAATGGATCGATGGATGGATGGATGGATGGATGGATGATGTTTTGTGCAGTGGTGGTTGAGGGGGGTTTCCGTGTGTTGCGGGGTGCCACCAAGGCTGACCCCGCTGAGCTGCTCCACACCGCTGATGGGGTGTGGTCCCTGATGGATGGACTGGACGACAAGGGCCTCATCATCTCAGACACCGAAGACCCGGTGGGTGAGACCACACAACACACACCACCGAGGCAGACATCCAATCCATTGATTGGCTGTGCTGTGTTGTGTGGATGGATGGATGGGTGCCTACAGGGTGAGGCGTGTCTGAACGCCTTGACGGCGCACATCATGTCTTCAGCGCCCAAGCAGCAGGCCCAGGCCGCCCCGGCTGCCAAGACCACCACTGACAACACCAAGAAGGATACCAGGCAAGACGATAGATAGATAGGCGGGATGGGAGGCCAGCCAGGGGAGCTCTTTCTTCCGTGTGTCGTTGCTTGCTTGTTGCCTGTCTGTGCAAATGTTATTGTGGTGCATGGGATGCAATGCAGTCACATAGTGTACATGTCTGGATGTCTGGAGTTGCTGGTGCCGTGCAAGCAGAGCCTGGGCGACGTGTGCTCCAACCTGCAAGCCATGGACCACGCCGTCGTCCTGCACCTCCTCAACCTCATCGCACTCAACGGTATGGATGGTGTGTACACACACGCGCACACACCCCCAGAAAGCGCCACGCCTGTCTCTGCCGGGCATTCGTTGCAGATTGCCCGAGCGATGCCTTCTCGTCCAAGGCACATCGACAGACAATGCTGCAGGAGTACGGAAGGGTGGAGGGAAACAACAAGACAAGCGGCTGCATGGCATGGCATGGCATTGCATGTGTGTCGGTGTGTGGTGGTGTGCAGGCTTGCCCATGAGTTGTCGTCATACGAGTGCCTCTCGCTCGTCACCATACCACTCGGTGCGGTGAGGGATAATGGACAGAACATCATGATGACACACACTCATCCTTTCCCCCACACGCCCATCTATTCTGTTCTGTATGGTGTCTGTCATGCATGTCAGAGGTGCATCAGGTTGTGTGTTTCTTCCGCCGCCTGCTGTCCATCACGTTCGAGGCCGAGCTGGCCCTGCAGCAGCTGCGCATCACGTTGGAGGCCACTGTTGCCACCATGCTGCTCCTTAAAGCGTTAGTCCATCCATCCATCCATCCATCCGCTCCTCCATCGATTGATTCATCCAAATGTCTTCATGGTGTGTGTCGTGTGTGGTGTGGTGTGGTGTGTCAGGTCGTCGGTGAAGAACTTGTCCAAGGGTCGTGTGTCGTTTGTGGCGAAGCACCGGCTGCCCCGCTCATCACTCGACCAGGCCGTCCTATATGGTATATATACATCTGGCTGGCCACCGACGGCCTGCCATGGCCTATGAGTGTGTATGTATGTTGTTGTGTGCTGACAGGGATCCCGTTCACGCTTCAGTCAGATGTGGATGAGTTCCCGCAGCAGCTCATACGCTCACTGGCAGACAAGGTGTGGTGTGGTGTGGTGGGACCTGATATATACTGACTAGCGGACTCATCCATTCTGTGTGTGTGTGTGGTGGTGGCGGTGAGGATGAGGTGTTGCTGCTCTCGTCACGCCTCGACCCCTTCCTCGGTCGGTCATCGGTCAAGAGAGCACAGAGACCTCACTCACCAGCGGGGCATCTGGATGTGATATATTGATGGTTGAACGTGTGCAGAGTTGGCTGGTGTGTCGTCTCTGGTTGAGAGCTGGTTCGTCGCCATGCCGGCCGGCAAGGCACACACCATGCTCGTACAAGTGAGTGACTTGACGACACGGCACGCGCCGCGCCCATCCATTATCTGTGTGCACTGCACGAGATCGACCTTCATTAATTCGACCCAATGTTGTGTGCTGTGCTTTGCTCAGGGCATCATCCCCAACGAACTCTACTGCCCTATCATGCACCACGCAACCAAGGCACGACGCACACACACACAGAACAACACACACTGTGTCTCAGCACAGCTCGGCGTGTGTGGTGTGGTACTGTGTGTGTCGTGCAGGACGATGACGTCGGTGTGCTGCTGGACGGCCAGTCCCGTTTGCAGGTGGACGCCACGCTCGATCGCATCCCATTCATGGCAGAACTCAACCCATTCGCCATCGAGTGAGTGAGAAGACACAGCCACCCATACACACACACACACACCCCTCTCTGTATCGCATTGCATGAGTCCGCCTATGTCTCTTTGAGCTCTAGGGGTGGGCTGATTAACGATTTGTGCCGTCGTGTGACGCAGAAGGCCATCCGCAAGCAGCACAACAACCCTGCTGGAGGGTCGGCCAAGCAGCAGCAGCAGCAGCAGGCGGCCTGCTATCCCAATCTCCCGAAACACCAGCAGCAGCAGCAGCAGCAGCGATACCGTCCCCTGCCCATGCCCGGCGCGGCAGCCAACGGAAGGTCACGTCATATCAAATACAGCCGCAACATGGTGTGTTGATGATATATGTGTGTCTAGCAGGTTTGGTGCCGGCCGCCACCCGCAGCATCATGGTGGTCCGACGATGGGCAACAGTGGGGGCAAGAAGGCGATGCGTGAACCAAAGCCGAGCCCGACTGACGATATCGATGACGCCACATGGGCAGACGGTGAGAGAGCATATCCCATCACCCACTCCACAACATGGACTTGTGGTCTTCATTGCCACATATGACATTCGAACAGCGTTTCCGTACGGCGATCCTGAGACGAATGGCCCCGCCGCCCCGCGCCTGTCGCCTGCAGCTGCAGCTGCCGCTGCTGCTGCTGCTGAGCGGCCGAACCAGCAGAAGCGGCTGAGGCTGAAGCGGGTGCAGGAGTAAGACAGCTGAGACGACCAACCACTGACGCAGAGAGGGAGGGAAGAGAGACCGGAGGCACATCGATCAGGCCTGTGTGTCTCGGTGTAGCTACCGTGTGCATTTGCGATGCGTGGCGGACCGATTGACGTGATGCAGTGTATGTGTGCTTGCGTGGACTGATGTATACTTGATTGCGTGAAAACATGTCATTGATGCCACACACAGACACACAGACAGACAACACGTCCGTCCCCCAGAAACGTACCAGCTGTCATCACCATCACCATGCGCACACGCAGTCAGACAGGCAAAGGATGCTGCACAGATTGTCCACTGTCAAAAAGACCTACCATATCATATGGATGCTATCGCCATGCCCTCCTGTTGAGCAAAAAAGCTGCGATCCACCGAAGTGTGACAAAGCTTTCCCTCTGCCTCTCCCTACCCCTACCCCGTCACGCACACACCATCACAATGAATGCACCACTGGTGTGCGCACGGGCTCTTCTGAGGCCACAGAGGCCCTGTCGATCGAGCCCCTCTTGGCGATGGCCTTGTCTTTCCACCCCCGCCAGCAGACCTGGATGGTGCGGACGGCCGTCAGCTCCTCTAGACGCAGCATCTCACTTGTCCTCTCCTGCAATCAATATGCACATGCCATCGACTGTGTGTTGGGCGTGGCGTGCATGGGTGCATTGTATGGCTGGCTGACCATTTTGCGTGAGATGTACACGCCTCTGTGCAGGGCCCGTTGCGGTCTCATCTTCTCAAACTCTTGCAACTCACTGGACAGACAGATAGACACACACATGGGCAAGGCCATCACACCCACGATGGCAAGACACGCATGCATGCGGCAGCGGGCACACTGACTTACCGTATGACCTCTGTGTCTCCCTGACCGATGAGCCGTCTCAGCACCGCCAGAGCAGCGTCGTGAAACGTCACAAAACCGTCAGCCGACACAGCCAGCCGCAACTGACACACACAACCCACAACCACTCACAAGGGACATCTCTTCTGCCCACTGTCTCGACTGCACGTACCTGTTTGGTGTATTTCGTGCTGAGATTGATGTAGTCTTCGCCAGCCTCACCCGGCGCACCCGTCGGCTCAAGGCTCTGGGAGCGCCCTGGCGCTGGTGGTGCGGGCCGGACCTTTCTGGGCTGCGGCAATATGCTCGAGAAGAATCCCGTGACGCCCCCGCCCCGGTCTTTCTGCTTGCTGGTTGGCGGGGACGCCTCCTGCTCGGCGAGCCAGCCGCCTTGGGGGGGCAGGCTCGTCGATAGTTCGGGTGGGTGGGCGTCCTTGGGGCTGCTGGGGCGGTCGGGAATGGCCGCTGGGGGGGGATTGGGGGCACCGGCAGCCAGCTTCAGACGCTGCACAGAAAGGGGTGTTTATGAATTTGGTGTCGTGGATTTGCTTGCGTACCGAGTAGTCGCTTTTTGGGTCAGGTGCGACGGGAGGTCCGAGTTTGTGAAGGATGACCATCACCTTGGGGATCGGCAGGAGCTGGATGTTGTCACGATCGTACTTCTGCCACAATACTGCACACACACATACGCACATCCGTCCTAGATACGGATGGATCGATCAGCCCTGCGTACGTATGAATCTCTGTATGACGAGGAGCTGGTTGTCCGACTCTGAGCTCGTGTGGGAAGAGCTGTCCTCAAACGAATCCTGATGAGCCACACATGACATGACACCACACACATACGTACGTCTGCCCGTCACGTCGGCAAGTCAGGCCAGAGAAAGGCAGCCCAGCCGGACTGACTGACCAGAATGACGGCGATGAAGAGATTCAAGATGACGAATGTGATGAGGACGGTGTAGGTGCTGAAGAACATGGTGGCTGCTGACTGGTTGCCGCACTGGATGGGGTTGCCGTCCCACTCGTCCGCCAGCTGCCTGTACCGCATGTCGCCCCTCTCAGCCGCGTCCCAGCAGGGGATGGTCTCTTCCATGCAGTTGCAGTTGCACGTGGTCGTGGCCGGGAACAGACACGACTGGGGGTTGGAGGGGTCGAGGCACTCGGCTTTGCACGGGTACAGGGGGTTCTCGATGTCCTTCCTGTTGGCCGTCGAATACATTACAGCATGCCAATCCTCGCCCGTCATGCAGCTGACCACACACACACAGGCGGCGAGAGCATTCCATGAGGGAGGGAGGGAGGGAGGGAGGGATTGAGGAAGGGAGGGAGAGGGACCAGCCAGCTGCGTGTGTATGTGTACCGGAACAGGGTGAGGAGTGCGAATCCGGTGGACCTGAAGTTGGCGTGGTCGTTGAGGTCCCCGTTGTACCCCACCTTGGCAAACAGCGATATGCCCAGCATCGAAAAGATGTACAGCAGCAGGAACAACAACAGACCCACATTGATCTGCACGCACGCACCACACGGACACATATAAATACACTCACTCGGTCGTGGCATGTCTCTCTGTGTGTGGAGTCGTCTCGTCTAGTCACTTACAAGTTTGGGTATGGAGAGGATGAAGGCCTGGAACAGCCGATCAAGGCCCTTTGCGAAGCGGATCAGCCGGAACAGACGAGCAATGCGGAACACACGCACCTGTGTTTCAAGACAAACACAAACACACACATCAACTTGACATGTGTGATAGTATGTCTCGCTCGTGTGTCTGCGGAAATACATACAGAAAGTTACTTACCACAGTGAAGACGGACGAGTCTCCCGAGTGAGGAGTGACGGCCTCCAAGAGGAGCTGTATGTCGGGGATGAGCACACAGATGAAGTCGAAGATGTTCCAACCCGACGAAAAATACGCCAGACGCAACGCATAAAACCTACAGACAGACACAGAACACACATCATATATGATGCCAAGACTCATCCGCAGGGTCGCTGGTGGACTGACATACTTCAGGAGAAACTCGACATTGAAGACAACTGCACACGAGGGAGCACGATGGAGCATAGGCGGGCTGTGTGTGTGTTTCTTCCCTGAGCTTACCGACGAACGCGTTGTTGATGCGGTTCAGCTGCAGTGGGTAGTCGTCCGACAGGCCATATGGCGGGGGGTATATCCGCAGCGCCAGAGTGACGGTGTTGAGCACAATGCAGGCCATGATGGTCATCTCAAACAGCCGAGACGTCACCAAGCTATACATCCAGGCGCGAGACCAGTGCACTTCCGCTGAGGTGATGAGCTGCCTCTTGGCTTGGAAGAGCTGCCGCTGCTGCCGCACCCACTGCAGCTGCGACGGGGTCAGCAGCACCGAGCCCGCCTCACGCTTGAGGCGGTTGAACGTGTCGACGATGACGCCCACACACATGTTGAGGACGAAGAAGGAGCCGACCACCATGAAGAGCACAAAGTACAGACCCGCCGCGGGGTTCCAGTGCCGCCGTGGCACCTTGTCGATGCCCACAGCGTCAATGCCTACATGCAATCGATGCGAGAAGGAAGGTGTGCATCGATTCGTTCCACACACACACACACACACACACGTAGACCTTTGGTACCTGCGTAGAGGACGTCGATCCATCCCTCGGTGGTGGACATTTCGAACAGCGTGAACATGGCCTCAAACACATCGTCAAAATGCGCGTCATGGTACTCCCAGCTGACACACGAGGAGACAGGTTCGTGCGATGCAGACACAGGCGGGCGGCTACCGACGGTGTGAGCCACACATAGTTAGTTCACCTGGTGTCGTCATTGTTCTCGCACTCCTCCTTTGTCGTGATCTCAACGCCCTCAGGCAGATCCTCAATGCCCTGTCAGTCAACCAAGACACAGAGACAGGAGAGCGTCGCGGCAGCCCATATCACACAGAAATCACTCACTGACGTCGCAATAGCCGAATGCACCCTTGAAGTAGTTGACGCCGAGGATGGCGAAGATGAGGTAAAGGATGACCGACACCAGCAGCACGTTGAGCAGCGACGGCACCGACTGCAGCAAGGTGTTGACCACAAGCCGCAGACTCTCGTTCCGTGAGATCAGGCGCAGCGGCCGCAGTGCGCGGAAGGCACGGAGAGACTTCAGGCTGCTGAGCGAGTTGTCCCCTTGGGAATCCTTCCCCGTCAGCTTGGACTCCTGATTGGCCAGATCTGACGGTTGGTTACATGAACGAGACAATCAATGGATGGCAACACAGGCAGGGCTTAGCTTGATTGACTGGCTCATGGCTCACCGGCGAGAGAGACTGCATGCATTGCAACACAGAGAGCCACCGACAGACACCAAAGAAGATGATTCAAGATGAACATCTGTCTGCCTCTTCTCGGTGTGCATGTGTCTCTCTATCCCTCTCGGCCTGCCTGCCTGCCTGTCTCCTACTGACCGGCAACTATGAAGAAATCGAGCCAATTCCACGCATCGCGGAGATAGGCATTCTTTGCAAAACAAAAACCTGCCCAGACCGAGCCAGACCGTCCACACATGTGGCCCCCATTCTCTGCGTGTGTGTCGGTGGGGTGGGTCGACTCAACTGACCATTGGCGACAGTTTTGAGCATAAATTCGACCGTGAAGATGAACGTCATGACGATGTTGAAGTAGAACAGAAACCACTGCTCGGGATCGTCGGGGTCATCAAGTGGATTGTCCCAAGCCATGGCAACCGACGACAAGACAATGCACACCAGTATTGCCGAGTCGAATCTCTTGTCAGACACCTGTCCGGGACACATAGGCATGCGCCAGAGACAGAAGCAGTGTGCTTCACTGATTGGCTTACCACTCGCTTGGCCATCTGTCTGACGGCTGAATCGTTGTGGAAGACCAGCCAGCTCCGCGGGATTTCATGAACCCTCTTGACGGCGTTGATGACCCACACGAGCGCAAACCAGAAGCATCCCCCGGCCCTCTCCGCCAGCGACGCCCCCTCCAGCTGCCGCACCCTCTTCTTGGCCCAGAAACTGAGACTCTCTGTCTGCTGACGCAGGAAACTCTTGCCGGGGATACTGGCAGGGGGCACATCGTCGTCATCATCGGACAGAGGCGGTAGCTTGACGCCGTCGCTGGTCGGCTTCTCCAACTCCCCCACAGCGACATGCGAATCATGCTCCTCTCTGAGATGGTTGGTGCCGTCAAGCCTCTTTTCCATTTCTACCCCCGCACCAGCGTCGGCGTTGTGTGGGGGCTCGACCACATTGGGCGGGAAGGTGTGCACTGCGACAGGACTGAGCTGTGTGTGGTCACGGAAGGCAACGACCATGTCGGACGACGTCGAACGGGGATACTCCTGCATACGCACGGCATACGCACAACCACACATGCCGGGGAGGCAGTAGCCCTTGTTCGGCGTACCGCTGCTGTGTTTCCGACTGGAGTGTCGTCAGGTGTGTTGTCCCCTCCAGCCGCGATCTTCCCGCCCTCCTCTGATCGTCCTGGGGACGTCCCCACGAAGGCGTTTTGCTGCGGTGCGAGTTTGAGGTTGGCGATGAGCTGCGATATGTTCTTGGTTGCCGCAGCCTTCCTCTCCCTGCGTTGGCTCTCAGCACGCTCCTGCAGGCCACATCAACAGAGAGAGAGAGGCATACCCGTCCATGAAGCATCCATCAATCTCTGCCATGGCGTATGTGTACTCTAATTTTTGTGGACTGTTGTTCGAAGTTGGACATGAGGATGGCCAGGAAGATGTTTAGGACGAGGAAGTTGCCAATCACCACGACGATGATGAAGTAGAAGGCCGCCCACCATCCCGTCGCTCGCATCCCATCATACATGAACTGCACCCAACCCAACGCACACAGTCCAGACATCAATCCACCACACCGACACTTTGCCGGTCCTTCTTTCTCTATGTGCCTACGCTGTTCCAGTCCTCTCCCGTGAAGATGATGAAGATGACTGTCAGCGCCTGATGAAGATTGTCGAAGTTGACTCTTGGTATCTCCACCTCATCGCCCTCACAGGCGTCTGGGTCAGCCCCTACATCGACAGGCGTTCCATTCTCGCGGAAACAAAACTCTGTGACACAACAGTCACGCCATTTCGCTCAACATGCTGTCGTTTGCAGACGTGGCCTACTTCCGCGAAAGAACTGAATGCATATGACATAGACGGAGACAGACGGACAGGACGTACATGGACAGCTTTGCCTGCTGTTCCTTGTTCGTGTGTCTCACATGCACGCCGATGAGAGCGGACACGAGTATAAAGATGATGACGATCGCCAGGAAGTTGCCCATCTCCAGCAGGATCGCCAGCATCGACCGCAGCAGACACCGAAAGGACACCCAGCTCTTTGCCAAACGAAATATCCTTGACACACACGCATCAACTTCATTAGAGCACCCGCTCTCCCTCACACGACGGGCACCAGCTCACCTGAAAAGTCTGAATGCCCGCAGTGCCGTGATGGCGCCGCCGCCCGCCCCAGCCAGCCCGAGCTCGACGAAAGACACGATGACCACAACGCCATCGAAACAGTTCATGCCGTCTGTCCAGTAGTTCCGGAAGCCGAGTGCCAGGTGCATAAGGACCATCTCGACACCGAAGACGACAGTAAAGGCCACGTGCGCGATGGAGAGGACTTTCCCCTCGGCCTCCGACATGGGGTGCCGGTCCATCATGAGGACCAGCGTGTTGAGCACGATAAGACAGACAACGAACACCTGCCACCACGAGCTCGACACCAGCCGGTTTGCCAGCTGGCACACCACGCCCTCAGGCTTGTCAGTCGAAAAGGCCTGCAGCCATCGCAAACACATGCCTCATCTGTGTGGGGCGGTATTACAGTGGGCCTGGTCTACCTGTGTAGCAAAAGTGATGAAGCGCGAGTACCCCAGCTGGCCCGCGGTTGCCGGCTGCGCACTCATTGTTTCCTGTGACGCCTCCTCGTCTGGGGGCGGGGCCGAAGCGTGCAGGGCGATGGGCGTCTGCAAGCTGTCGGAGAAGGCGGGAAACGCCAGCTTGCGATCCGGGAGCACGACCTCTCGCACTGGTGTGGGGGAGTCGTCCTCAGCGGGCGGGGGCAGAGGGGCCGCTTTGCCGCTCCTGCCGGGTAGCTGATGGCGGCAGGGAGGGGTTGTGTGCTGTGTTGGCACACTCTGTGGCGATGGGAGCAGGTGCTCGATGGCCGATGGTCGGTGAGACGCTGATCTTGATGCTGGTGGGGAGAGCTCCTCGAGACAAGATTCGAAGAAGTCGCGTGAATCGTTGTCAGCGATAGAGTCCTGGTCTCCCTGTGTGTCCCTGTGCCGGAGTGGAGAGGAAATCGTGTCTTTGCGCCACGCTGGCTGCCGCGAGCGGCCTGCTGATGCCGCTCTAATCGCGTCAGGCTCGTCCTGGTCACCAAAGAGGTCGACAGGCACGACCGCGGTCAGCGATAGCCCGCTGCTGTTGCTGCTGGACGTCCCGTTGCCGCCCCGGTATGGATGGCTGGAGTGGTGCAGTGGATCGGACCTCAGCTCCTTCGGGAGAGGGCTGGCATCCGGCTGCTGTGCCTCGGGCAGAAGATCCGGTGTTGCGTACACCTCGGTCTCTCGATGCTCGTCTTCCCTTTTCCCACGCTGTCGCTGCTGCTGCTTGGGTGGAGTGTCGTTTGCGACCGACTTGGCCTCCTTGGCTGTCGCTGGGCTGCGTGGGGAGGGGGCATCTTGGCCAATGACAGGGCTGCCGGCGGGCGAGACAGACGGCGAGCCGATGAGCGTCTGGTGCAGCTGGTCATCGTGCCGCTTGGAAAAGCTGTCGAACACCACTGCAAGACTGATATTCAGCTGAGCAATGACCGAAAACAGCGCACAAGCGCATCTATCTTGCACTCTCAAGACTCACATCCATCCATTTCGTCTTCTCATACTCATACATACCAGGAAGAAAGATCCGAAAAGGACGAGGACGCAGAAGTAGAGGGGCGGCGCCCAGTCGTTGTAAGAGTCCTGAAGCATGTACATGATATCCACCCAACCCTCCATCGTGACCGTCTGAAAGATGACGATCCTGCAGGGTAATAAGCAACAACACGTCGACGCAACAGAATATCATTCAGCCCGGCTTGCCGCCCTCACGCACACACCATGCCGCTGGCAGGTGGTCGAAGTGGGTGATGCCTGGATGAGCAAGCCACAGGCCATTCAGGGGCACTGTCGTCAGTCTCGTTTGTGTGAGTGGAATGCGCTGTGTACCGAAGTTCAGGTCTTCTGATCGCCTTGCCTCCCGCCTGCAGGCCTCGTCCACCTTGGTGCCCTTGGGCGGCTCGAAAGCAGACCCGCAGTATGTTGCCTCTCCTTCATGCGACAGACTGATCATAGAGACAATGAATGGCATCATCGAGACACAGACAAATAAATAAGAGATGGAAACACCGATTCTTCTGTTAGCATGTCTGCCTGCCTCCACCGTCGGCCTACCCGCATTCGTACGCACCGCCACACAGCCTTTCCTGATCCTCGTCAATCTCCCACACCCATCCGTCACTGCAAACACACATCACACAAGGAATGAATGACGAACGCGTGTCTCTTCGGTCAATCAGAAATTTCACCTCGGGTCGAACTCGGGTTTCTTGGTGAGGCGGCATCGGGAGTGCATCCGGCCACCCCTGCACAGCATGCGTGGGCGAACGAGAGAATTCCTCTCACATCACATTGGTGTGAGAGGCGTTGTTAGAGCGAGCGTGTGTGCTCACCCACCAGAGTGTCATGCCGAGAACACCGAATATCGTGAAGATGAATAGGGCCATGCCAAGCACATTCGCGAGCTTCTGCGTCGACAAGAGCATCGTGTTGACCAGCATGCGCATCCCTGCAGCACGCACGCGATTCATGTCTCATCGACCCACAAGAGGACAGTGCGGCTGATTGACTGACTGACCGACCGACCGACCTCTTGACGCACTGAGAATCCTGAGCGGCCGGAGATCCCTGAATATGTCGGCGGCCAGCGCGACTCGCTCAGCGTCGGAGAGGGCAAACAGACCGCCAACCACCACCAGGAAATCGAGCCAATTCCATCCCCCTCGGAAGTAGGTGTGCTCGGCGAAAGCGAAGCCCCAGGCCATGATCTTGAGGAGGCACTCGGTGAGGAAGATGGGCGTGAACAGGATATCGGCGCCGTGCAGAATGTCTTTGCGCAGCTGCTCGTCCTTGATGTAGAACTCGCCGGCGATGACGCATGAGTTGAGGACGATAAGACAGAGAATGATCTTGTCAAACAGCGGGTGCTCGACCAGCCACAACGACCACCAGCGGACGGGGTGCTCGATGGACAAATGAAAGATGTTGCGTCGGCAAAGCGTCTTCTCCTTCCCATGCACTGTCACTGTCGCCATCATCTGCTCCTCGTCCTTCGTCGTGCTTTTGCCGCCGCTCAGCGAGCCCACTCTTTTCCTCTCCGAATGATCAGTCATCATGGAAAAGGGACAAAGATAAGACGCGATTTCCTCTTCGCGAGCTCACATGCAAAACCCCCCACAGAACCGACTTTTACGGGGAACTTACTAGGGTGTTGTGCTCCCGACGAGCCCCGACGTTGAAGTAGCCGAATGCCGCGCCGGTTTGATTGGTACGCAAAGCCAGTTGTTATTTTCCGTGGCCATCACATACGAGCGTCACGTCATGCGCACGGCTGTTCCTCTGTCCTTCCTTGGCGCAGGTAGTGTGTCTGGTTGAGGTATTGTTTGCTGCCGGCATGCATTTCGCCGACCATGCGGATGCGATAGCGGAGGACGGCGAGGGCGATGAGGACCTCGACTCGTCCGACGAGTCCGACGAGGAGACGCAGGAGCACATCCCCGCCCAGCCACCAGATGCCACAGTGACGCCACAGCCCTACGCGCACACAGACACAGATGGCAGGGAAGATCAGCAGGAGGATGAAGATGAGGGCATCGATGATGTGGCGGCTGAGGCGGACGACGACGGGGCACACGGCGAGGAGGACACCAGCAGTGACGGCGACGACGCGGACGAAGATGAGGAGGATGACGAGGAGGAGTCCGATGACCAGGACGAGTCGTTTGGTGTCGGTGATGGGTCTGGTCCTGGTCCCGACTCTTCCTCCCCATTGGTTGAGACTGGTGAGCCGGCGCCGCCCGCCCTCCCTCTGCTCGACCAGCTGGACCAAGAGGTGCATCCTGAACAGGAGCGGCAGACGGACGCCATGGCCCTCTCAGAAGGTGGGTGACCGACACACACGTGCGGCAGACACCGTCGGTCACACATTGACTGTGTCTTGTGATGTGGTGTGGTGTGGTGTGGTGCAGGTGCGGTCGGAGGAGCTGAGTTAATGGGCGAGCCGCGTGCTGACGATGCACCCGATAGTATGGACGTGACGGACAGTGACGACATCCCCCCACAAGACACCGTCAACGAGGCGGCAACTCCCCCCTCCCCCGCCCCACCACACGCACCAGACGCAAGCGCCTCACTCTCCCCGCATCCACTCGGTGCCAGCGAGGAGGAGCAGCCCAACGAGCGGAAGGACGCCACAGGAGAGGCGGGAGAGGGTGCGGGTGAGGGTGATGGAGTGGAGGAGGACGAGGAGCAGACCCCTGTCGAGTCGAGTGCCGTAGTCGAGACGCAGCTGCCTGCTGTCGGGCGGCCGCGCGGTCCTGTAGCTGAAGATGAGTCATTGTTGCAGTTGGAGCCTCCGAGGGCCCACCGCCACCCCTCAGAGGAGCTGGAGTCGCTCGTCTCACCTCACCTGTCGACCATTGACGGCGAGGGCACGTCCCGTTCAGGCGCCAGCCTCTCCAGCCCCTCCAGCATGCTCAGCGGCCTCCCTGCCGCATCCACAATCAGCACTGAGGCCGGCCTGAAGCGGGAGGCCGGGCGGCCGACAGACCGGGCAGTGACGGGCAAGCGCTCGTATCGAGCCGCTGATGACGACAGGTCGCCGCCGGCTATCACGGCCGCCATGGCCTCGCACAACATCGCAGCACCGGCCGATACGTTTGCACCCAAGCGGCCGGCCTCGGATGACAAGGCGGCCCACGTCCCTGCCGTCAGCCGGGGTGGTCCCGTGACGGAGCAGGTCTATGTCGTGGGGATGGATGGTGGCGGCGCCCACCATGGGCCAGCCCATCCGTCCAGACATGACATGTCGGGCCGTGAGGAGCTCGATAGCGAGCCTGACGACGATGTCGGCATCTCCAGTCGCGCCAAACGGCCCAGCGACGGGGCGGCAGCAGTAGGCAAGAAGGCCGACGAGGCGGGCTCGTGCCTGATCAACGGAACGGGAGATCGAGCAGCCCCCTCGTCTGCGCGAAATGGCTCGGGGTCGACGCGCAGGGGCGAGGGCGCTCGCATCTCGATCGCGGCATCCTCATTCGACATGAATCTGCGAGGCAAGCTCCGCCAGGACAGCAACGGCAAGCATCCTCAGGGCCGCGGCAGCAAGTCTGCGCAGGAGACGCCCGCCGCACCGCCACCAGTTGAGTCTTCAACGGCGGAGGAGGAGGAGGAGTCTGCCCCCCACATCCCCCTCCTGTTGGGGCGTCCGGCCCAGCCCCCTCCTGGCTCACCTGCTGGCGGGGATACGGGCGCATCACCCACAGGAGCTCAGAGGGCATCACCCACAGCTCAAAATGGGAGTCTCGTGGGCGAGCGTACGGGTCGTGCTGATGGCACTCGTCGCGACCGGTCTGACGAGAGGCGGGGGAGGGACAGGAGGGAGGCCTCGGAGGCTGCTCGGGCCATTGATCCTGAAACCGCGGAAGAACTCATTCGCTTTGCGGCCCAGCTGGTAGACCGGCCGAGGGGAACCCTCCAAGCGGCGCTCATGCACGGGAACCCGCAGAGGGATCTTCCACGGTTCGTGGACACCATGATCCATTCGGATAGGGATATTCCACGGCTGGTGGACACCATGATCCATTCGGCGAGGATCAGGCCTCCAGAAGCGAACGAGTCACTGTCGCGTCTGGACGGCCCCCCCGAGGATCTGTATGGTCCAGATTGGCACCCTGAGGATGAGGTCAACGACACTCCCGACAGCCAATCGGGGATGGACCCTCTGTTGGGGTCGACGAGAGCACCGGGCCTGCCTGCCTTCCCTCACCCCATCCCCACACGGCCTGTCCCTCCCGCACCCCCCACCATCTACCCCCGTGCAGCACCCTACACATCGGTGGGCAACTTCCTGCCCTCGATGGGCGGCGGGGTGTTGGGCAGTCGGCCAGACCGCGCAGGGCAGCGCCGGTCGGGTGTGGGTGGTGGCGGTGGCGTTGGCGTTGGCGTTGGCGAGGAGTTCCATGACCCCTTCGATGACGCCTTCGACGATTTCGAGAATGACAACAACGAGTACCACGACGCCGCCGACGCCCCGGACGAGACGTCGACGGTCCCCGAGACAGAGAATGAGGCCCGTCCCCCCAGCGGGCGGCGGCAGCCCGAGAGGCGCCCCGACGATTCCCCCCACTATTCTGATGATGATGAGAACGGGGACGGAGGGGACGACACGGAGAGCGATGATGACGATGGACTTGAGGACTTCCTGAACCTGCGTGACCGGGACGGCCGCCTGCCCCCTCACCGTGACCACCTCCGCAGCCTCAATCGCCACATCCATCTCCACCCGGACATGCGCGAGGCCGTCAACGACTCCGAGGACGACGCTGAGGGTGCGCGTCGGATCCGGCAGTGCATCACGCTGGAGGCCTCCATGCGGCGCTTCCACCCCGAGGCGTTCAACAACCGCCTGCACATGGAGCGGGCGCACAACCAGCAGGTGCAGCTCCACGACCACGTCAAGCGCCTCGTCGCCAACTACCACGAGAAACGCACGCAGGACGGCAGGAGGAACGGCAGCGGCGGGAGGGGGGCGGCGTCGTCTGCGGTCGTTCGTGGCGAGGATGATGACAAGGACAAGGACAAGGAGCGTGAAGAGGCCGATGAGGAGAGCGAGGTGCTGAGCAGCCGCAAGACCAAGACGAGCCGGAAGGAGCAGGCGGCCAAGGAGGAGGAGCGGCAGTACCTTGAGGACCTTGGGCAGGTCGTGGATCGCATGATGGTCGAGCAGGAGGACAGCGAGCTCATCAAGACCATCTGCCACCACGCCACCAACTACATCGACCAACAGTGGAACATGCCCGAGGCCATCGAGGCTGCCACCGAGATCATGAAGCAGCGCGTGCGGGAGGCGCGCCAACGGGCCGAGCAGAACTGGAGCCGCATCATCAACTTGCACTTGCGTCGCGTCATTGCCGACATGGGGAAGGGCAACGTCGACATGTTTCTCAATGCGACGGGGACGGCCCCCAAGGAGCCCAGCGCCCAGGACGAGGAGAGCGGCCGCCGGCAGTTCGAGGAGTGGGCGGAGGACGCCCTCAAGTGCAAGGGCGAGAAGTGGCGCAAGAAGAAGCTGCCCTTCGGCCGCTCCAAGGTCGAGACCAAGAAGATCCTCCTCACACTCGTCAAACTCATCATCAACAAAATACTCCATATGGTCAGTCAGTGAGCCAGCCACTGAGAAAGAAAGAAAGAAAGAAAGACAGACAGACACACACACACACACACAGACAGACAGACATGTTTGCACAGAGGGGGGGCAGGGCATCACGCGCATCGCTCACGTGTCGTGTGTCGTGTGTGTGTGTGTGTGTGTGTTCAGGATTTCCAGGATCAGGCAAGGGAGTGTGGCGGTGGTGGCGAGAGGACCTGGCAGTTGATGGTCGGCGGCAGCGACATGGGCGACGACCACTCGGACGACAACAGACGAATGGTGTGCACCACACAACACACACACAGCCCATCCACCAATGAGTGTCTGTCTGTCTGTCTGTCTGTCGTTGTGCTGCAGGACGACCAATCGCATCGTGTGAAAGAGTTGGAGATCAAGAAGAAGAGGCTTGAAGTCATCGAGAAGCTGCTGCCGGCTGCGCAGGAGCAACTCAACAGACTCAAGAGAGATCGGGCCAAGAAGGGCTTGAGCGCCGCCAGCATCGCCGACCTCGACGACAAGATACAGAAAGCCACCGAGGGAATCAACAGGCTCACCTCTGAGAAGGGCTCACTCACAAAGGACACCGGTGGGTACCCACCCGCCCCTCCACCACGCCACGCAGCCCCACCCACACCACAATACGGCACAACACGATGGATGTATGGCTGTGCGGTGTCCCTCCCCTCCCTCCCTCGTTGTTCGTTGGTTCGTGTGTTCAGAGGTGTTGGCGAAGATCGCCATGGGCGTGTCGCCCGAGGAGTCTCGTGAGGAGTCCAAGGCCAAGAACCGCTCAGAGGTCAAGCGTGAGGAGCTGCGCGAGAAGCACGAGAAGGCCCAGAAGAAGAAGCAGCGCAAGGCCGAGAAGGACAAGGGCAGGGGCGACCACGCCAAGGATGAACAGGCCGTGAGGGAGAAGCAGCAGGCGGCCGAGCTGCGAGCCCGCGAGGCCCAGAAGGCACTCGGCGTCGAGCTGTCCGACGAGGAGACCAAGAAGGACAGGAAGGCCCGCAAGGCCCGCAAGCAGAAGGAGAAGGAGGAGGAGAACAAGCGACGCCAGGCAGCAGCGGCCGCTGCGGCCCCGCCACCCGAGGAGGTCGAGGGCGACCAGGGTGCGTCCGACAAGGACAATGACGAGCAAGACAACGAGGAGGAGGACGACATAAGCGAGAGCGAGCAGCTCAGCCGCTTCGTCCATCGCCCCAAGCCCAAGCCCGAAGCGGGTGGCAAGGAGGACAAGAGGGACAAGTCGAGGGCCAGACCGGCGCGTGAGGCGCCGCCGAGAGAGGAGGTGCCGCCCGGCTCCTGTGCCTCGTCGCCCCGGCCGGTGACCAAGTACGGCGGGCGGTGCTCCGACAGCGACGCAGACGACGACACCGACATCTGGTTCATCCAGCACCCCCGCCTGCTCGACAACACCAAGAGCCCCGAGGGCGGCGTCCACATCAAGCGGTCGGTCGTCAGCTGGTACCTCTCGCGCATCAAGAGGGCCTGTGAGGACCACAACAAGGCACGCAAGACCAGCCAGGCCGCCATCGCCGCTGCTGCTGCGTCCTCCTCCTCCTCCTCATCTGTGTCGGCCCCCAGCGCCCTGTTGACGTATGTGAGTGGAGACGACGAGCGGTTCATGCAGGGTTTGGCTGAGGCGGTGGCGACGGCGTGTGAGGCGGCCGAGGACAAGGACGTGGCCGAGGCGAGGGACGGGGTGCCGCACACGTGGGACAACATCGTGGTCAAGCTCGACTGGAACGGCCGCAAGGCCAAGTGGTTCAAGCTCGAGCTCTACGACTTCCCACAACTCTCGCCACTCTGTCACTTCTTCGTGCGAGTCGTGAGGCATTCCAGAGAGAGAGATGACCGACCGGAGCCCTCCCTCACACCCCCCGTCAGCACACCGGCCTCGTCGGTCGTCGCCCCATCGCACCCGCCCCCCCAAATCCTGCGTGTGGACCCCAAGCCGGCCGGGCCATACCCCGCCCCACCGATGCCCGCTGAGCTCAAGGTCCTTCCGCCGCCAGCAGGCCGCATGGGTGACAGGCGTGGCGCGGGCAGGGGCATCGCCACTGGACGGCAGCAGGGGGGCGATGCGGGGACTTCATCTCACGAGTTGGAGGAGGCCTGGACCACCGGTGCGAGCGGTCACACTGTGCCGCACGGGATGATTCGCGTGGACGGGTACGGCGATGGCAGCGTGGTGCAGCCGCAAATGCCGCTCATCAAGCCTTCGTCTCTGCCCGGTCCCTCGCCCCCGCCGCCCAAGTCGACGTCATCTGGGTCCGTCTGGGGTCCGCCCCCCGGCACGCCCTCGGCCGTGGTGGCCCCTGGCGCCGCAGGGGGGAGGGGCGGGGAGGGCCGTGCCGACATGGAGTTCGCCAAGAAGCCGCGGCTGCTGTCGACCAACTGGATGACGGACAGCCTCAAGTGCAACTTGATGGCGAGAGGGGGGCAGTTCAGCGTCATCACACGAGGCCTCTACTTCGCCCTCAAGGATGCCCGCACCATGGAACTGCGCGACCTCAAGCCCCACGAGAGGCTGCGCGTGCACTTGGTGAGTTCTGGCGGGGCAGGTGTGTGTCTGTGGCGCCGAGTGTCATCTGTATTGGCTCTGTCTGTGTGTGTGTGTGTGGTCAGTTTGAGCAATATGTTCGGCGCCGCTCTAGTGCGGCGGTTGATTGTAACCCTCATTGGCTTCCGCACCTGGCCACGGTATCGTCCAAGATCCTCGAATACGAGAAGGAGCTGCTCATCCTCAAACGGGTCAGTGAGTGAGGCAAACAGCCGGCATGCAGCGATGCACTCACAATCCATCCATCCGCCCGTCGCTTGTGTTGTGTCTGTGTGTGTGTAGGATGAAGACGAGGCGCTGCCCGATGGCGAGCCACTGTGGCAGCCCCGCGGCCTCGAAAACATCAAGAACTACTGCTATCTCAATGCGGTATGTAAACAAACACCCAACCAACACACACACACTCACACACACACGTGGTGTGGTGTGGTGTGGTTTGGTGTGGTGTGGTGTGGTGTGTCCGTCAGTTGATCCAGGGAATGCTGCCGCTACAGTGGTTCGCAGAGTACCTCTCGCTATCGGCAGAGGTAGATTTCGACCCTCACACACACAACCGAGAGACGCACACAAATCGGTTCTGTGTGTCTCCCCGTTGTGTGCGTGTGCGTGTGGCAGGGTTTGGCCAATGCGGCGCAGTACGACCGTGAGTGGAGGGAACAGCACCGTCTGCACTACCCCTTCCACGCGGCCTTTCGGGCGATCTTCGCCGAGTTCTACCGCGCCAAGAACCAGGCGACCCTCGACAAGGAGCATGAGCGCACCCAGAGGCTGCGGGACATCTGCCAGCCCATCCTTGAGCACCACAAGGACAGGGACAACTGTAGGCGACGGACGATACACACATACACAGACGCGCACAGTCGTCAGCACCTCCATCTCTCTCTCTCTCTCTGTGTGTGTGTGTGTGTGTGTTTGACAGATGTGCAAGTGGCTTATACCGAGAGTTTGAGCGACAAGGGTCCCGAGAAGGGGTCGCTGGCTGGCGAGGACACCGCCCTCCCGGCCCTCTACGCCTCGGCCTTCTTCGAGACTGTCATCAAGGAGTTCGAGAACAGCCAGAGCCAGAGCCACCCCGACCACCGTGGCAGAGGTCACCTCACTCACCTGCACACACAGATCAGTCAGATGACTGCACTGCACACAACAAACACATCTGTGTCAGTCAGGTCAGATGATGTGATGTGGTGTGGTGTGGTGTGGTGTGTGCAGCTGGTCATGCCTTCGGTGGTGTGCAGTCTGACCCTCAGGAGTTTCTTCTCGACCTACTCAACAACCTCCACAAAGAGAGCATCTACCGCCGAGGGGTGCGTGAGTGAGTGCATATCTCGCTTGGTGGTGCATTGGATTGTATTGGATTGTATTGTCAGAGCCTCGGGCGGCTCTCGTCCCAGTCGCCACCGCCCCCACAGCCATCCAAGCCGTCGTCGTCTTCCACCGATCCACCAGCCGCCAACCACGCGTAGACACACCACCTTGACAAGCTGCGCATCGGCAGGGGTGTGCATGTGCATGCCTGTGTGTGTGTGTGTGTGTGTGTGCAGCAACGACACTCTGCAGGACATCAACTCATCCCCCATCAGCAAGCTGTTTGCCGGCGTGGTGTCGCGGGTCGTGCAGTCTGACAACGGTGAGTGAGTGAGTGAACGAGCGACCGATCCGCCGACACAAGAATCGTTCGTTCGTTCGTTTGGCCACTCCACTTGTGTCTGTGTGTCTGTGTCTGTGTGTGTGTGTGTGCCTTGACCCCTCTCCATTCATCAGACAAGAGCAAGTTGACGTGGAAGCCCGAGGCCTTCTGGACACTCGACCTCGCCATCACCGACACCACAATCAGAACCATCGAGTACGCAAGCCGCACAGACACACACACACACAGACACACACAGACGCTCACAGACGCACACAGACCCATTATCCCACTGACCACCTGTGCCTCACGTCACCTGCAGGGACGCCATCTGCTGCACCATGGTGGACCGCGACGAGGAGGAGGTCCTGCGCGCCGACCCCAAGCACCGGCACATCTATCACAAACTCTTCGTCGAGACCTGGCCCCCCGTAGGCAACCGACGCAGACAGACAGCCAACACGCCACACCACACAGGCAGAGTAGGTGATGTGTGATGTGTGTCGTTTCTCTCTCTGCTTGTGTGGGGTGGGTGTCTGTCTGTCAGATCCTGGTGTTGAGCTTGAAGCGCACGGGTTTTGGTGCGCTCCAGGCTATCAAGACGGGCAAGGTCATCGAGTACGGCCGAGAACTCCAATTCAACTTCGACTGGTCCGACCCACTGCCACTGCCACTGCCTGCCGGACCAGCCAGCACAACCATCCCCACCATGCGCGGCTATACGTGTGTGTGTGTGTGTGTGTGTGTAGGTGGCGGTATGAGGAGCGTCACAAGTGGGAGGAGTACTCCCGTTGGCGCGCGGCGCACCCCCACCTCGCCGAGCCTGACAACGCCCCGGCCCCGCCCCCCAGCTACCAGCTCGTGTCGGTGGTGGTCCACCACGGCGAGGAGGCCCACGTGGGGCACTTCAGCGCATTCGTCAGACGCGGCCACGACAAATGGTGAGAGGACGGGCGGATGCCTGGGGTGGGTGGGTCGATTGGGCGTAATGCGGGCTGTGTGGTGGTGTGTGTGTGTGTTTAGGATCAGCTGTGACGACCGCATGATATCCGAGAAGCGCGAGTGCGAGGTCCTGAACCACGCGGGGGCCCTCCTGCTCACCTACGTCGATACCACCAGGACCATAGTCGACGTCGCACCCACACCCATCTAATCTAGCACACACACACACACACCTCAGTTAGGTTAGCCACACACACTCACGCAGGGCGGGGGGGAGGGGGAGGGGGAGGGGCAAGTGACTGAGCGACTCACTGACTGCATGGTTGTCGACCACTGAGTTAGCGTAGACTTGGCGATTTGGGCGGGCGGGCGGGCGGGCGGGCGGGCGGCGGTTTTGCTGTCTCGTCTCTCTCGACCCTTTGGAGCGGTTGGTTGATCGGTTTGGTCGGGCTGCCTGATGGCAGCCTGCCAGGCCAGTAGCTAGCGGCCATACAGATTGTAATACAATGATACACAATGACTGACACACAATGATTGACTGACGAGAGAGGATCGGCAGACAGATGGGATGGGAAAGGGCCAAGGCAAGGCGTGCTGCTGAGACTAGCTAGCTGAGAGAGTTTGAGTGCTTGAGTGAGCTGTGGTGGACGGCATGGCCGGGCCGACGTGACGTGGCGTGGTCAGATCAGACGAGCGGGGCTGCGCTGCGTCACCCTCCCTGCCTCCAGCCCGCTCCCTCCCTCCCTGCCGCTTCTCTCTCTCTCTGTCTGTCTGTCTGTCTGTCTGTCCGTCTGATTGATGGAAGTCAGGTCTCTCTCTCTCTCTCTCTCTTTTCCTGTCTGCCTGTTTGCCTGCTTCCCTGTCAGTGTGCCTGTGTGTGCGTGTCTGATTGCATTGGTCGACTGACTCATTTGTGAGTTTAATCGGGGGGAGGGCAGGGGAGGGTAGAAGGAGAGCAGAGCACCGGTGGGATTGTAGATACTTACATAAGCTATACAGACTCGTGCGTACGCCGCCGCCTGGCTGCCTGGCTGCCTTTCTTCCTTCCTGCCTGGCTCATCACATCTCTACCAGCCGACGCTATCGACTCGACAGACCAGCACACACACACAGTTTGGGCTGGGCAAGGCAAGATGATGGGACACGCCGTGTGGTGGGTGGGGGCGCGGGAGGGGATGGGTGGCAAGTAAGTTCACTTCACGCGCAGCCAAACAACAGGCTGCCTGAATGGAATGACCGGTGCTACGCTATGCTACGCTATGCTATGCCGCTGACTGCTTCGTGGAGCTTGAGAAGGTGTGTAGACGAACGGCTGCCTGTCTGCCTGACTGACTGACTGACTCCTTCGACTGACTACTCTCTTGACGTGTGAGCTGCGAGAACCGGTGTGTGTATGTGTGTGCGTGTTGATGGCGCATGCAGTGAGTGCAGCAGATGGCGGACTTTCAAGCAGATGGATGAAGGATGGACGGATGGATGGACGACTCAGTAGCCAGCCGATCAATCATGATGATAATACCCACACCACACACACAGAGGGGTCCAAATCATCCCCCCCATGATGCTAGGCTAGCTAGATACATGACCGATAAACGCTCTACACGCACGCACACACACACACACACCGTCCGCCGTCTGTCTCTCTGTCTGTCTGTCTGTGTCTCTAAGTGAGAGCGATTCTGATTTTGAGTTTGGAGGGTATGATCGGGTCGGTGACGATGAGCACCTCATTCTCGCCAAGCACACCCTCATCCACCAGCTGCCTGCACACACCCACAACTCACAACTCACAACAGAGCACCATGATGGAATGGTGTTGCAGTGCAGCGAGGTGGTGTGTCTGACAACTGACTGACCGCAGCGTCATGGGCAGTTTGTACTCGTGGTCCTTGCGCAGCAGCGGGCTCGACATGAACACCACAGCCTGAAAACACCACAATCACATTCAATTCAACACAGCGCTGTGCCGCCTGGTGCTGCCGGGGGGCGGGTGGCCAGGTGTCTAAGCGCACTCACTTTGTCGGAAGTGATGGAAGGTCTCTGCAGCTTCAGCGACGGATCCGCACACAGACTGATTGTCGGCACACACACACACACACACAGAGAGAGAGAGAGAGAGAGAGAGAGAGGGGCAAGATGCTAGCCCCTTGCCGGGGGTGTGGTGTGCATGGGCATGTGTGTGTGCACAATCAGTCAGTGAGTCCATCCCGACATACCGACCTGTCGATGAGTCCCTGTAGTGAGGTGGCGGCGGGCATGGACAGGTTGCGGATCGTACCCGAACACACCAAACAGTCCTGACACACACAGACAGACAGCACAGCACAGCACAGCCACTGTTTGTGTCTCTGTCTGTGTGTGTGTGTGTGTGTATGTGTGTGTGTAGCCCAGCCCCTTGGGAGTGGTGTGGTCTGGTGACGTCCGCCCCGCCCGTCGTGCGGTGCATTCGTTCGCCCGTCCGTACGTCTTTCTTTTCATATTCGAATGTGTGTATGTAGACGCCCTCGTTGCCCATGTACATCATGTAAGTGTTCAGCACCGGACCGCAGTACGTGGAGATCTTCAGCGCCTGACCACACCACACGACTGGCGTGTGAGTGAGCGGAGTAGTCAGCTGGGTATGGTGTGGTGTGGTGTGGTGTGGCTACCTCATTGACGAGTGACGCAGCGATAAGTGCGTTGGTCGAGGCCACCGCTGGAATGATCCGCTGCACACAGACACACACAAAGAGGTTCGCTTCACGTCTGTGTGTGTGTGTGTGTGTTGGCTCCTGTGTGTGTTGGCGCACCCACCTTGACGACTCCCATGGTGAGAGAGTATGTGACGCCGCGGATGCCGAACGTGTCGGCCCGCTCCTTAGCCTGGTCGAAGATCCACTTCATGTCCTGAGGGGAATCGGTATTCTACACACACACTCACGCACACACACACACACATGATCGCCATGCGGTGTGCATGTGGTGGTTTGGTTTGGTTTGATTTGTTGTGTAGAGGTGAGCACCAGTTTCCTGTTAGGGAAGTGTTTGTCCCACTCGACGACGAGGACGTACTCGATGCAGTGCTCCGGCAGACGGGGCGTCTCGGCAATGGTACACATGGGATAATTCACCTTCAGCACACAATACACAGCACACACATTCACACACACGTGTCAAAAGAATCCCTCTTTCTCTCTCTCTCCCTGTCTCTCTCTCTGTCTCTCCCTCTGTCTCTGTGTGTGGTGCATTCATTGCCTGTGGCGGGAATGAGTCGAGTGAGCAGTCGAAGCATGACGTCATATAGGGGATGATGACACGGCTCTGGCCCTTCAGACCCTCAGTGCCGCCATCCAACAGAGGCTGGCCGACACACAGACAGACACACACACATACACAGAGAGAGAGAGAGAGAGTCACTGTGCAGTCGTGTGTGCAGTCGTGTGTGCAGTGCAGGTGTGTGTGTGGGTACCTACCTTGATGGTCGATCCATCAGGGTTTTCATCTTCGTCGAATTCGACCATTGTGTGAAGGAGCGAGTTGATCCACCGACGAGCAGTGATGTTGTCCAGACCGGCTATTATCACGTTGAACTGACCCACCCACCAGACAACACACACACACACACGCCCAGACCACTCACACCCATGCACCTCTACTGATGGACGAGTGTCGGTGGCGTGACGGTACCTGTGAGTAGAAGTCCTCAGCGTAGTCCTGTATTTTGCAGTTGTGTGGCGTGACGTTGACGCCCATGTGGCCGCACCGCCTGTTGATGAAGTCGGCCGCCACGTCAGCCTTCGGACGACCCACATCCCGACTCCTAAACACACCACACCACAACCCATCACATCACATCACATCACACACACAACCATGGGGTCCGACGGCCCAATCTGTGTGTGTGTGTGTGTGTTTTGTTTGCCTGAAGAGGAACTGTCTGTTGAGGTTAGTGATGTCGATGGTGTCCATGTCGATGACGTGAATGTCGCGGAAGCCACTCAGCGCCAAATCTTTGAGAATCTCACAGCCTGAAGTCAGACACGCAGACACACAGAGCACACACACACGCGTCAGCTTAAGACGTACCACGCAAACAAACAAAGGGGATCACCCACCCATCCCCCCACTCACTCACCGAGCCCGCCCGCTCCGATGACGAGCACTTTGCACTCTTCCTGCAGATACTTGCGGGTCTGGTCCACACGACAGACAGAATATATACAGCCGTGCACTGCATGCCGATGCCGATCTGTCGCTGTGTCTGCGTGTGAGATCTGACTGACCTCCTCTCCAGGTTGGAAGCAGTCTTCGTCGGCGAAGGGGCTCTTGCGGTAGAGCACCTTGCACAGGTGCTTATGCCGGTCCGCACCGTCACTCATCACCACATCGCCGTCACCCACCATCTTGAAACTTGATCACTTCTTGATCTCCAGTGACCCAGCGAGGCGATGAATGAATGAATGAATGAATGAAGAAACGGATCAAGCACAAGCAACAGGCGACAGTCGACTCGCATCAAGCTCGCATAAAAGCTCGCAGCTCAGGAAAAAACCGCAAAGGCTGACGATGGCAGACGCTTCGGCGCCTCCCGACGAGCCGCTTTTCCCAGCACACACCAATGGAGGCGGTGACGACAGGTGGGTATCGAAGGTGCACATCCTGCCTCTGCGGTCTGACGTCAATGACATCGCCGAGGCGGATGCGAGCGAGAGGGAGGCGGTGATGAGTCACCTCCGGGCCAACCCACATGTCAGGCGGTGGACCAAGATCACCACGCAGTGCCGGAGGGATTTCGTCGTGATTGAGGCGGAGCCTGATGAGGGGATGGTCAACTCACAGGTGGGTCTGGCGGATGTGCCACAGACATGCAGAAAGGCTCTCGATGGATGGATGGATGGATGGATGGATGGATTGTGTGGCTGTGTGTGTGGTTGTGTGTTGTGTGTTGTGTGTGTCAGACTCATGTGTTCACTGAGGGTCCTCCGTTGATAGAGCTGGAGCGTGTCCAGTTTGCCGCCACGACCAAGGACCCCGACGCCGAACAAGTCTGCTCAGATGAGGTATGTGGGCTGGGATCCATCCATCCATCCACACAGCATAGCTTATGGACATGTGTTGTGTTGTGTTGGTTGTGTTGTGTGTCCACCAGGATTTGTGGCTGTTGTATGTGAAGCCCTTCATCGAGTCGAATCCCTTCCTGGTGGCCATGCCTAACAGGAAATACGACTGCGACGGGGTCAACGTCGTGTGCTCAGGTCGGTCGGGCCACACTGGTCACACGTGTGGCTTGGCGAAGGGATGGATGGATGGATGTGTGTGGCGTGTGGTGTGGTGCCTGCAGCGACGCGGCCCAACAACCGCATGGGTTTGGTCGTCAAGACCACACTCGTCCACGCCAACTGGGATGGCGCGGGAGAATTCAACAGGGTCGGTGAATTCTTTCCACCTCGCACAGACAGAGCAGCAGCAGCACACAGAACATGGACACAACGGACACAGACAGACAGACACCTCCCTCCCTGCGGTTCCTTCCCGTGTCCATCCATCCATCCATCCACTTATCAGGTTCACTTTGTGCCGTTCTCCGACACGTTGCCGACGGCCCGCACGTATGGCTTCAACCTGTGGGACGACTACCTGAGGCCTTACCTGCAGACCAACCCCCTCAAGGTGGGCACGTCTTGTCTTGTCAAGACAGAATATGCACACCACACATAGATAGGCCCTCTCACTGCACACAGTCATCTCATCTCATCTCCTCCTCTCTCTCTCTCTCTCTCTCTCTGCGTGTGCAGCGTTTCCGTGTGGGCGACATCTTCACCTACCAGGGTGTGCAGTTCCGGCTGGTCATCGCAGAGCCTGACGCCTTCCTTCGGGTTGGACCTGAAACCACAGTGCATTGCTCTGGAAGTAAGCACAAGCACACACACAGCTGCCTCGCTGTGTTTGGCCGTTCCGTGGCCTGGTCTCGTCTCACGTGTGTGTGTGTGTGTGTGTGCGTGTGCGCGTGTGTGAATGCAGCTCTTGCCCCCACCATCCGCAACCTGCTGCCACGAGAAGTGCTCGGTATGTGAGGACGCACACAGACAGACAGACAGACACTCACACAGTGAGGTGGTGTACCTCTTGTGTGCGGTGCGCCTCTCTCTCTCTCTCTCTCTTTGTGCAGCCACCATCAGCCACCTGCCGCCCCCGCTGCAGCTTTACGTCCTCAACAACACGGACCTCAGCCAATCCGACGTAGAGGTATGTCGCAGACACTCACACACACACACACGGAGAGACAGGCAGGCAGGCCGCAAGATAGATCTAATGTGGGTGATCAATGACGGTTTGCTTCGTCCATTATATCAGCGCATCTTGACTGCGAGCGGGTTGGCCCCCGGCAGGCGGCCCCGCGGCATGACGGAGGCACAGCTCAACAAACTGCCGCTCACTCAGATGAAAGGTCCGACACACACACCTACACTCTGTTCTGTGTGGAATCCTTATGCATGGTTTGCATGGTGCTGGCTGCAGACACCACCCGTCCGGCGGCAGCAGCTGGTGGGGATGGTGGTGGGGGTGGGTATGAGAGTCTCGGCGCGCGTGCATCGCCGTCCCGGAGTGCGAGCGGCAGCGGGAGCAGCATCGGGTCCGACACCAAGTGCATGATCTGCCTGGGAGACCTAGAACCTGGAGGTACACACACCGCACCGCGCGGCACACACTTGGACCACACTACAGCGTCAGCCATCCATCCGTTCACCTTGTCTGTCTGTCTGTCTGTCTGTCTGTGGGTCTGACCGGTCGGTGTGCTTGTTGTGTGTGTTCCACCAGATTGGCTTCGTAAGTTGCCGTGCTGCAACCAATACTTCCACAGACAGTGCATCGACGAGTGGTACAAGCAAGCCAAACCCATCACACATCACATCACGACACACGCAGGAAGGAACACACACACACACACACACACGCTCTCCGTCTCGCCTTGGTGCGGTTGTGTCTGTCTGCAGGCTGCAGCGTTCCTTCGAGTGCCCCTTGTGCAAGACCGACCTCCGCTCAGCCGTCGGCGCAGCCCCGCCCCCCCGCGGCCGCAGTGGCCGCACCACCCGCCCTCCCGCACCACCCTCCAGCAGCAGCAACAGCAGTCCATCCGACGGCAGCACAACCAACGCCACACAACCCACACAACAGCCTCCCACAAGGCCGTGGTGGCGCGCCTTGTTTGTGGGGCCTGGGGCGCGGCAGCCATCAACCCGTGGTGCTGGTGCTGGTGTTGCTGGTGGTGGTGGTGGTGCTGCAGCTGCGGGAGGGGGAGAGGGAGCGGCATCATCTGCTTCAGAATCGGCAGGGGACTGGGCTGTGGCGGGTGGTGGTGGTGATGGTGATGGTGATGGACCTGGCCCGTCGTCGTCCTTGCCGCAGGAGGTGGCCGACTGGATGGATCGGCCGCTCCTCCCTCGGGAGCCCGATGGGAGCGATGGATGACTGCTTGAGAGAACGGACGGACGCCGGGCCATCTCATCATCTCATGGAGGGAGTCGATGGATGCATCATGCGCTGCGTTGCCACACTTGTGAACGAGTGGACTGACTGACTGACTGTCTGACTCAATCCAATGGTTTCTCCCCTCAATGCTCTCACCTCTTCTAGCTGCATGTGCTGTGGATGGTTATGAAACATGCCATGCATGTGCAAATCGCGACGGCAGTTTGGAGGGAGTCCGCCGAAAAATAGCTTAGAGCAGGGATTGCTCGTCAAGTGGACTGGGGGCCGAGCTCGTTAACACCGGCTTCGAATTGCGTGCGGAGAGCCTAGGAGTCCAACGGGTCCTCTGTGTTTCTGTTGAGAGAGGTCTTGGTGAGACGGCACCGATCGTAGGAATTCCTACCGTCACGAGATTCCTACCTCCACCTGGCAGCCGCATGTTGACCTTCCCGGACCCGTTCAGCGAATTTGTGTGTTGACGTGTCGACCATTAGTCGGTTGTCGCATCGCTCGGCCTCCCAAGTCACCATTGGGTCATCATGATGTCCGAGTCGGACCCCAAGGGCCTCTATGAGCGCCTCGGGGTGCAGCCCGACGCAACCGAAGCCCAACTCAAGAAGGCATATCACCGAGAAGCACGGGTAAGCCCTGACGGCACAAAAAAGGGCATGAGGGCCTGGGGACCTCCTTGACGCACTCGCCCCTGCATGCCTTCGTTCACGTGTGTGTGCCTTCCTTCTGTCCATGGCATGCAGCGCGTTCATCCTGACAAGAACCAAGAAGACCCTGACGCCACTTCCAAGTTCCAGGCGTTGGGTGCGGCGTATGAGGTGCTGTCAGACCCGCGCAAGCGGGCCCACTACGACGACACGGGCGAAATCGCCTCGGAAGACGAGATGGAGGAGGATGCCGACTACTACACGGTACGGTCAGGGGGCAACACCACAGCAACAGTCAACACAGCAATAGCAACAGCCAGCAGCAACACACAGACACGACACACATACAATGGATGAAGGGAGCGTAATTGTGTGTGTACTGGGTGTTCTCAGGACATGTTTGACCACATCTTTGCCACCTTCCCTGGCGGTGTAACGGTCTACGACGAGGTGCGCCACACACCCACACGAATCACCCGCATGAGTGCACTGATGCCCTGTGTGTGTTGGTTGCTATCGTGCAGGACGGTAACATCATCTTCCCGCCAGACGGTGGCGGCCGGTCGTTCGGTTTCGGTGGTGGTTTCGGTGCCAGTGGCGGTTTCGGTGGCGGCCGGTCGTTCGGCTTCGGTGGCGGTGGCGGTGGCGGTGGCCCGACTCGCCGTGAGCGGCGGGCTCAGGAGCGGCGGGAGCGCAAGGAGGAGCGCAAGGAGAGGGCGCGCGCGCGGGTATGCCCACTCACTGACACAGCCACCCTGAGTCCCACAGACACACACACAACACATCCATCACTCTCACTCTGTTCCCCTGTTTGTGTGGTCTCTCTTTTTGTCCTTTTCTGTCGTCCAGCGTCATAATGTTGGTCGTGATGGAGGAGCTGGTGTTGGTCGTGATGGAGGAGCTGGAGGCTCCGGGTTCTTCAGTGGTTTGTTCGGCGGCCGCCGTGGTGGCGGTGGTGCCCATGAGGCCTCTTATCGCAGCGAGGACTCGTCAGACTCTGGTGCGCAAACACACACACAGTAGACATACCAAAACACCCCCTTGGCTTGCTGAGTGTCGTACCCACCCCTCTATTCATCTGCCTTTGTGTTCTTCAGCGTCTCCGACAGTCCGTCCCTCCCAGCCGGCCCCAGCGTCCTCCATGCCATCTCGCCCTCCTCCCCCTCCCCCTCCATCCAAACCACCACCCTCATCGGACAACGCATCATCCAGCCGCTCACCCTCTCCCAATCGCACAGCAGCGCCTTCACGCCCGGCAGCTCCCCCCAAGACCTCCAGCACCCAAGCCACTGGCAAGGGCAAGAAGGGCGCCAAGGCGGCGAAGCCCAAGATTCCACCGAAGCAAAAGGGCTCGATGTTCCAACGTGCGAGGCAGGAGCAGAATGCTGCCGCAAGGGCGGCCGCTGCTGCTGCTGCAGCTGCAGGGGGCGAGAAGGGAGACGGTGAAAAGGAGAATGTCGGCGACGGCGAGGGCCCCAAGGAGGAGCCGTCCACGGAGGAGCCGGGTAGCGAGTCGCCCAACAGCAAGGGTTTGGCGACCCCTCCCTTGTCGGCGGCGTCGGACCAGCAGGCCGCAGCGGCCAACAAGAACAAGACACAACAGAACGGCAAATCGCCTGCAAAGACTGGTAAGATCCGAACACACACACACACACAAACACACACACGGACAGGAACAGCTCTGTTTATTTCCTCAGACGCCACTGTGCCACCCGTCCCACCCAAGACAGACGTGATTGACGGCAAGTCCGGCAATGGAGTGGCCGAGAAGGAGAAGGAGAAGGTCGTCGGCCGCACTGACGAGGAGCAGGCCGGGGCCGGTGAGGCCACTGCTGGTGGGGCTGGTGCTGGTGTTGAAGTTGAAGTTGACGTTGAAGTTGAAGTTGGCGGTGACGGAGACGGAGACGGGGCGGGCGTGGGCAAGGGCGAGAGTGAGGGCAAGGGCGAGGAGGGCCCCAAACATGCCAAGAAGAAGGGCCGCAAGAACAAAAAGAAGTCGGCAGAGTCGCGCAAGGCTGGTGCTGATGGTGGTGGTGCGAGTGCTGCGAGTGCTGCGGGTGCTGCGGGTGCTGCGGGTGCTGGGCCGCCTCTCGAGAAGGCAGCTGCACCCGAGAGGGCACCCGAGAAGGCAACTGCACCCCGACCGGCGAAAGACAACAGCAACACCTCGCCATCGAGCGCCAGCAGCCGCATACCCCTTCCCAGCCTGTCGGCCGCCCGACCAGCCCGCCCATCGCCCGAGAAGGCGTCACCTGCACCCCGCTGTGCACTGGACGCCACATCGCCCTCCAGTGCCAGTAGCCGCAGGCCCCCTAACACGTCATCCACCAATCGCTCGCCCGCCACCAACGTGCAGCAGCTCACCGGGCGCCCTGCTGCCCCACGCCCCGGTCGCTCCGACGGCAGTCCAGTGGTCGGCGTCGGCAATGCGTGGAACAAGCAGCGGATGGAGGACTTCTTGGAGGAGGAACAATTGCGGAAAGCCATGGAGCTGTCCCTCAAGACGGCAGAGGATGAGCTGAAGCGCCGGTCGGAGGAGGACATGGGGGGCGCACTGGATGGACCGGCAACTGCGGGCCCGGCATCATCATCGACTCACCAGCAGCAGGCCCAGGCCCCACCCGCTGGCCAGACTCGCCGTCCGCAGCGGGGAGGGGGTGAGCAGTACCAGCAGCCGTCGGCCAGTCGCAGGTACCACAACAACCCCAACGGCCAGATGCCGTCCGTCTACAACCACCACACGCGCCGCCAGAGTGGGCCAGAAGTCAATCCCCGCCCAGCGGCCACACGCAACGGCGAGAGCGGGGCCGCTTCAGACCACGACTTTTCGCCTCTGGAGAGGATGTGGCGCGAGCAGCAGCAGTGCAACGAACGGCAGCACAACAGCCGCTTGGGTGTGTGGGACGATCCACGGCAACAGCGGGGACAGCAGGAGGGAGGACGGGAGATGCAGCGGGAGGGGCCGTCGGAGTTTGCTGCCTTCGAGTCGGTGTGGAGGCGTGTGACGGGCGGGCAAGCGGGATTCAGCCCCACCATGGCTGATGGCCCGCAGGATGGGCCCAAAGAACCGCAGCCGCAGCCACAGCCCGACAAGCCGTCTGTCGTGGTGCCAGACGTCGCGATGCCTAGCCATCCCTTTGCCAACGGGCAAGAGGGTGCTGGCGTGTCCGGGCCATCTTGCAGTGGGGGGGCTGGCGTGTCGGGAGGGGCATCGAGTCGTCCCACGGGCGGTGAGCGGTTGCTGGGGCAGAACCAACCAGCACAGGACAGCGCATACGGTGAGTGAGTGAGTGATACAAGCAAGAGCGAGGCAGGGAGGTGCAGGGAGGTCACTGACGTGACGCAGGCATAGGCATTTACTCATGTGTGTCCCTCTCGTCTTTGTGTGCGCGTGTGCAGTTTCGACCAACCAAGCTGCCCCGACCCACCACCCGCCGCCCATCATCCTGCAGCCCCCAACGCAGCCCGCGTCGTACTACCCCACTTTTCAGGGGCAGCAGCCCGTGTCCCACTACGGCCAGGGGCAGCCACACTCGCCCGTCAACGTGCACCCTCCGCCCCCTCCCCCTCCTCAGGGCAACCGCGTATCATTCTACCCCCCTCGACAGCAGCCCTTCATGCCTGTGCCACCGCCTCCTGAGCATGTGCCCTGCCCGGCGGCCTGGCTGCCCAACGCACGGCTCAACCACCACCACCAAAACCAACCATCTACTGCTCAGCGAAATGGTGAGTGAGTGAGTGTGTGAGCCAGTCAGTCCTAGACACATGTGCACGTCACATAGACCGGCCTGCCTGCCTGCCTGCCTGCGTGTATGTATGTGTGTCTGTCTGTCTGTCTGTCTGTCCCGTGTGTGCAGGAGGCGTTCCTAATGAGTTCAATGGAGTTGCTCCGCCGGTGATACTGGCACCGCCCGTGGTGCAGCCAGTGGTCCCGCAGCCCCCAGTCGCCTCACCATACCTCCCTGCTAACCCATGTGACGGCCATGCATCACCTGTAAGCTTGCAAGGAATGATACCCCCACACCACAGAGAGAGAGAGAAAGAGAGAAAGAGCGCGAGGGAGTGAGAGAGTCCACTAGTCAGTCCGTCCATCTTTGCATACTCTCTCTGCATTTCTCTCTGCCTGCGTCTGTGGACCTTCCTTCCCTGGTCTCATTCCGTTCAGCAGGCTGAGGCGTTCGGATGTGCAAGTCCGCTGTATCGCCCCACCCCGTCGCCGCCCGCTCCAGCTCCCCCTCCCGCACCACCCAGTCTTCCCGTGTTTGTCGACAAAGCCTGCCAGTGTGAGATCGAGCCCAGCCCTAAGGCCAACAAGGAGCACCCGCCACCGACGACAGGGAGCTTCCCCTTGGCCCCCGCACCGGCTCCGGCCCCTGCACACACGCCCATGAACCCATTCCATCAGGACAACCACCGTCAGGACTACGCCGAAGCCAGCCCTCACTCGGGATCGTCTGGGTCGCCGGCGGGAGGAGGATTCTTCCCGCAGCAGCCTGGCCATGGCATGGGGGGTGGCGGGAGGCGCAGGGGCCGTCGCAGGAACCGAGGACGGGGCGGACAGCGTCGCGGCAACGGCAACGGGCAGGCCCAGTGGTCGCCGGTGGTGCGCCCTCAGGCTGCTGCGCACGAGGCAGGCATGGGCATGGCGGCGGGTGGCGGCGATTTCTCGGAGCTGGAGAACATGTGGGAGCAGTGGAATGGCTGGTGAGTCAATGAATGAGATACCGACCGATATATCTATCTATTGCCTGCCAGGCAGACAAAGAGGCAAGACAGACTACGGATTGATTGATGATAGTGGGGGGATGGGTGGATGGGTGGAGGGAGGGAGAGGGTGCATTGCACGGCTGACTGATATCATCTGTACGTCACTCACTCAAGCCCCGCCCCGCCCCGCCCAGGGGAGATGCTATATCACACACATATCAATCAAGGTAGATAAACAGCGCCGCACCTGGTGCTGTAAGTACGAGCAGTATCTTTTTCTTCCCTTCCTATTTGCTTTTTGCCGTTTGTAGGCAGCCAGACCGGCCGGCCTGCCTGTCTGCCTGCGTTGATTCCTTCTTCTTGCCTGGATGGATGGATGTATCCTATGGTCTGACTTGTGTGCGCGAGGACCATACTCCCTGCTTACAGAGATATACTATATTTGTGTTGGCTGGCATGGTTGGCCTGTCTGTCTGTCTGTCTTCTTCTTACTCTATGCTATGTACATATGTGAGTGGCTGATTGAGCGAGCCTGATTGGCTGGCGGACTGTGTGAGTGAGGGGTTGCGAGCGGTTGTCTGTCTGTCTGTCTGTCTGATGTATTGCTGTCTGGCTGCCTGGATCGAGCGCTCGTAGCTGGCTGCACAGAGACCATCCCTTCCCTTGACTTGATACAGACTAATGACTTACGACTTACATCACATCCGCAGTAGTCCATCCATCCATCCGGCACCAAACGTGTCTGTCCATCGATATCTATCAAGTCAGTCACAGCTCAATCCCCATGCCATGCAGAAGCTCATACAAACTGATGCCTTTCGCCTCACCACCAGCTCTTCCCTCATCTTGCTTCTCAGCCGCCATCTCGCCATCACCACCACCCCCTTCGCCACCCGTCACATCTGCTTCGTCCTGCGCCTCAGACATCATCACATCCCCACTCGCAGCAGCTGCTGGCGCTGCGGCAGTCGGCTCGGCTGCAGGGACCGGGCCCGCTGGGCCAGCAACGTGCGGAAATAACGGCTGTGTTGGTTCCTCAGGTGGATGTGCCACTGCTGCACGAGGGATTGCCATGGGCGGGGCAGCAGCAGCAGCAGAAGCAGCGACAGGGGGCGGAGAGGGAACAAAAGGCGTGTGCCGCCGCTTTGCCGGAGGTGGTGAGGGCGAGGGAGGGCGGGGCCGCTTCTGGGGCACTTCTGTGTCAGGCAGGGCGTAGAGTGTTGATCCCTTCAGCGCCTCATCCTCCCTCATGGCCTTCCGCAGCTCCCTGTCGGCTCTCCGGTCAGTCCTTGATGCAGACGCCGCTCGCCTGGCCTCCCGTCTGGCTGCCCGACGCCTCGCCCGATTGCCCCTGTACCGCCGCTTCTTCTCTCGCCGCCTGTCGGCTGCTCTCTCACTCTGCAACACTGCTCTAGGCGTGACGGGCTGCTGCTGCGGCTGCTGCTGCTGCTGACGTGGCTTGGCCATCTGTCGCCATCGTCGACCTTTGAGGGACGATATTGATAAAAGGTCGGTGGTTTTGGCGCGTGTCGGTGGTGGCCTGGTGGTGGTTGGCGCACTGGTGCTGCTGGTCCTGGCGGGTGTCTTGGTGTGAGAGGTGCGTGTGACAGCCGAGCACATGTGGCAGCGCCAAGCCATGTGACACACCTGCAAAGGCAACCGAATGCACATCGGTATGATCAGATCTGAGCTGCTGAGACTGACTGACCTGAGTCCTGGAGCCTCCTGGTGGCCGTTTCCGAGCCGAGATGACTGTGGGAGCAGCCGATGACTCGCCCAGTTGGTTGGCTGGCTGTCTGCTCCTTGTCTTGCTGTGCGGCTCTGTGGCACATGCTGCCGTCGACTGAGGGACGAAGAGGCTGCCGCACGCCCCACAGAATGGCGGCATCGACCCGCCACGCAGATCTGCATGAACCACACCCACACGATTGATGTGTGTTCTGCCGTCACGCTGCCTCGCTGCCTTACCAAATTGTGCCTCTGTGCACACCGAATCCAACTTGCGCCTGCAAGTCGTGTGTACCCAAGGACACAGACAGTGAGGGATTCATCGAGATCTCTTTCTCCTCACTGACTTACATCAGCAGCCGGGCAAGCACAGGCGCCCGCAATGCATAGCCGTGGGCCGCTGACATGAGGAACTCAGCCGTCTGCAGATCTGCCGGCTTCTCATCCGGCTTTCTCCCGGCGATCTTCCTACCCGACGGGACGGGCAGCTGAAGCTGAGAGGCGTGACGCATTCAAGGGAGGCCCAGGGAAAGGATCGCTTGCGAGCTTAGAACTGAAGGAGAACAGTCGGTGACCTTGTCGATGGAGGGCACCAACAGCGGCAAGGATGAGAATTCTACGGAGGCCCCTTCTGTCATCGACATTGCAGCCGATTCGTCCCGCGCCTCGCGAGAGAGCAGCGGAGGCACCAGCCCTGCAGATGCAGATATGATGGACGACACGCCCATCAACTCTGACCGCCACCCCTCACCAAACCACAGGTGATTTGATTGACAGACCAGCCAGCCAGCCAGCCAGCCAGACAGACACAAAGCACAGCACGCCAAACCAGTGTTAGTGTCTGCTTGTTGTGTGTTGGCAATGCCTGCACTGCACTGCCAGGCCTTCGTTTCCCTCGTTCGAGTCTGGCGGCAGCCCCCAAAAAGAGGGCAGCTACCGCGCCATACCCCCGCCTCTCAGCGCCCTCCCATCCCTCCCCCGCCCAGAGGGCTCCGCGCATCTATTCGGCAAAGCGACCACCGTTCGCCGCGACCGAGGGCAGGAGCAGAAGCGGCTTCTGTCCACCGAGGGCTACTTCGGCCCTGATGATGATGAAGAGGACGACACGCCGGGAGAAACCGCTGGCAATGAGAGGGCGGGGAGGGGGGGAGAGGATGACGGTGCCGATGACGGCGAGCCGGAGGACCGCAGTGACAGTCCTTCGATTGGGAGGGCGAGGCTGCCGGCCGTCAGGGCGGGGCGGATGACGCCCATGACGATCTTGGCCGTCGCCTTCACCACGCTGACGGGGCTGCTGATGGGCTATGACCTGTGCGTGGTGGCCGTCGTGCTGCAGCCCATCCAGGTGGACTTCAAGCTGTGTGGTGACGCATTCACCTGCACCAGGAAGGAGCTCTTCGTCAGCATGGTCGCTCCAGGGGCTATGGTGAGCCAGTCAATCAGTCAGCACCACGGACAGACAAGACGCCTGCCGTTGAGTGTATGGTGCACTGCACACACATGCAGGTCGGGAGCCTGGTGGGCGGCGTGTTATCTGACCGCTGGGGCCGCCGGACGACACTCGCCATCAGTGCGCTGTGTTTCATCATCGGGGCTATTCTGCTGAGCGAGGCGGCGACATACGCCTTCCTGCTGCAGGGCCGCATTGCCATCGGCCTCGGTGTGGGCATCGGTTTCGCCACCGGCTCCACCTACATCGCAGAGATCGCCACACGAGAGCATCGCGGCCGGATGGTCGTCTGCCAGGAGATCGCACAGTGCGTCGGTACGGCGAGGCGAGGCGGCAGGGTATGGCTCGGCTCACCTCCCACCGTCTGTTTCTTCTGTCTGTCGTGTTCACTCACTCATTCAGGTTGTCTGTTGGCGTATGCGGCCGGCTGGTTCGTCGGCGAGCATGCGTGGCGCTGGCTGCTGGGCGCCGCGGGGATCGCTGCCTTTGTGCAGCTGATGGCGGTGATGGTGCTGCCCGAGAGCCCCCGTTGGTACGTCGGCAGAGGTCAGCTCGAGAAAGCCGCTGTGGTCCTAAAGCAGTTGGGCGTCGGGCAGACGGGCCGCAATCAGGAGGAGGAACACCTGCTCATCCAAAGGGAGATCAAGGAGATACTCAGGGACTGGGAGAGCCAGACACAGCAGCAGCACTCACCGTCGGCGTCACCGTCAATGAGAGCGGCCGAACGACAGTCCCCCCATCGCAAAGTGGTCTTCGAGATCGAGTCGCACGACCTCGACGATGACACCGAGGGAGGAGGCCCCTCACCCCGGCTGAACACTCCCAAAGGCCGGGAGGGCGAGATCGAGATGACGACAGCCACACAGAACGGCGGCCACACACCTGACGCCTCGCCCCCGCCCTCACCGTCCGAGCGCACGGCTCTGGAGCAGCCATCATCCCCCCCTGGAGGCTGCGGCTCGTGGGGTCTGCTGGCGCGTCACTGGCCGCAGGTGTGGGTGGCGCTGGGGTGTGCCGTGTGCCAAAACCTAACTGCGGCTAACACCGTCTTGTACTACTCGCAAGACATCTTCCGGCTGGCTGGCGTGTGCGACCCATTTCTGGCTGGCGTGGGCATCGGCATTGCCAAGGTCAGTGAGTGGGACGCCTTAATTGCCTTCCATGTACGTCTTGATTGTGATGTGATGTGGGTTGTGTTGTGTGTTTGTGTGGCTGGCGTTTCTGTCAGGTGTTGGGGGTGTCAATGACGTTTGTGCTGGTAGAGCGACAGGGGCGGCGGTGGCTGCTGCTCTGGGGGTCAACCGGTACCTTCATCTGCCACATCGTATTCGCCGTAAGCAACCCTGCCTGCCTGCCTGCCTGCCTGCCTCACACCAAGAGAGAGGATCAATCAAGCACCTGACTGACACCCACATTACCCACCTTCACACACACGACGTGTGCCTATCTATCTATCAGCTGGTGTTCGCTTCTGGCCCCACACTGCGGTCCAGCAGTGGGGTGCAAAGTGCGTGTGCGGCCGGCGGGGAGGGGGAGGGGGAGGGGGTGCTGGCCAGCCTGCACGTCACTGTTGCCGTACTCACCATGCTCTTCTACATGTAAGTGACAACAAAGACAGAGAGAGAGAGAGAGGCGAGAGAGGGCGGCACACACCGTGTGTGTGCGTGTCCGTGGGTCTGTCTGGGTGCTCATCAGGTTCTGTTGGAACATCAGTTGGGCTGGTTTGATGTTTGTGGTGGCGAGTGAGGTGCTGCCCACGGCCATCCGCGGCCTGGGCATGGGGCTCGTCATCCTCACTTTCTGGAGCTGCGCATTCTTCGTCCAACTCACGCTCGAGTCGCTCTTCGATCTCGTCACAGAATCAGGTGCAGGCCTACACGCCAGCCACCAAACATGGGCAAAGCGAGACACCAACCTACATACCTTCTCTGCCTCTGCCCACCCCTGTCTGTCAGGCACCTTCGCCATCTTTGCCATGACCAATCTGTTGGTGATCTTGTTTGTGCACTGGGAGATACCCGAGACCAGCGGCATGAGCCTGGAGAGCATCTCACAGGGCTTCAAGAAACCGCGCAAGGGCGGCAGGGGACACCACTCCCACCACTGAGTGTTGGTTGACGGAGGGCGGAGGGAGTGGTGGGGTGTTGATGGATGGATGGATGGATGGACTGATAGCGGCGCTCGTGTGTGGGGATGTATCTATGTTGGCGTGTTGGTAAAGCCAGAAAGTTCTGGAGCGTGTCAGTAAGAGCAAGCCAGCCAGAAATACAGGCAGGCAGGCAGGCAGGCAGGGGACGCAGGCAGGCAATTCGTTGGATGTAGGCAACATGTTGTTGTTGTATGTGTGTTTGTACGTGACGGATAAGACAGATAGCTTTATTCATTCGACGGACATCATTTTGTTGCCGTATTGCATTGCGCATAAACAATTGCATTAACAAGTCAGTCAGTATCGCTGGCAGCATTCAATCATCACACCGTCAGCAGCCGCATACACGATCTCTCACCGTCTCATCTCCCTTTGCCTCTCCCGCTTTCGACTTGAAAAAGCAAGACGATCCAAACAACCACCACAGGACCGGCCCCTCACACACACTCCTGACTGACTGACTGACTGACCTGCCTTCTCTCTCAGCACACGTGGCTTGACTTGACACAAACGTGAAAACATCCTAACCCGCATGGCATGCAGTCGGCCTACGCGAGTCCACTGGACGCTCCTCTGGTCGCTCGCCACGCACTCCGTTGTCAGTCATTTCTTGAGGTTGTTGAGTCGGTCCTCGAGGGACTTCTCCATCTCACCCACAGCCATCGGCTGGGCACCTGACGCACACACACACACACACCGCACACACACACACACACACCCCGCACAGTGAGTGCCAGGCATTAAAACACCCGACACTCACTCAGTCAGTCAGTCGTGTGTGAGCATCTCATCTCTGTGTGTCTGCTTCTTGATTGATCTTACTGGCTTGTGCGTCGACGGCCATCGGTTGGGCCGCCGCAAGCTGACCCGACGGAGCAGCGGCCAACTGAAAGAGGAACACAAAGGAGTGGCGTACCTGGTGTGCCGTCGCCCGGTCTCTCTTGCCCGCCCGCCCAGCCCAGCCACTCAACTAACTCACCTGTCCGGAAAGGTCGACTCCGATTTCGTCGAGGACCTGAGCCACGATGCGCTCCTCCTCCTCCTCGTCAGTCTACACCACACACACACACACACACAGACAGACAGACAGACCACACACACACATCTGCACCGAACCACTGCCAGGTGCCTGCCTGCCTCTCGACTGACTGACCGTGTCGGCCATGGCGTCGTCGACGGCGTCGGACATCATCTCCTCCTGCACACACACGCGCAGGGCAGGAATACAGACACGCAGGAAGGGAAGGGAAGGGGTGTGCGTGTGTGCTGTGGGTCCCAGCGTAGCGTACGGTGAGTCCCATCTTCTCGTTCTCCTTCATGAACTCCTGCATGATCTTGTTCAGCGCTGAGTGCACCAGTTGACACACCAATCACACACAGATAGATAAGCAGACATACCTCCCTCCCTCCCTCCCTTTCTGTGTGTGTGTGCCGTGGCATGTATCTGACGCTCACACGGCAGGTTCATCTGCTTGTTCATCCGCACCATCACCTGATCGACCCAACCAACCACACCACACACACACACACGACGTGCCGTCTAGCGCTCCACCTGTCTGTCTGTCTGTCTGTCTGTCTGTGTGTCTGTGTGGGATGCCAGAGGCAGGCAGACCTTGGTGACGCCCTTCATGGACTCGGTCATGGCCTGTGTGGACTTGACGGTCTGCAGCCGCAGGTTGACGGCCTGCAGCTGCGACCGCATCTCGTAAAACTTTGCCTTGTACTTGCGGGTGCGGACCAAATCACGAGCCATGATCTTCACCGAACTCTGCAGACAACGCACAGTCAGTCAGTCAACCAACGTCACCAACACACGGAGATGCAACGACCGCACACAGCTCTAGTGAAGCAGGGCTTCTGTTGGTTGTCCTACCTACCATTTGTCCCTTGTTGGCCATGGTCTTGATGTCGCCGATGAGCTTCTTCTCGCCGTTCTCGAGCTGCATCCTCTCCCGGTCCAGCTCCCGGATGGACCGGTTGATCTGACGCTTGTTGCTCCGCAGCTGCTCTGCACACACAAGACACACACACACACACACACACACACAGACACACAGACAGATACACAGACAGACACACAGACAGACACACCCGCACAAGGAGGCGGTCAGCAGGGGAAGAGTGGGTCTGCGTTGTTTGTGTGTCGTACCATTGAGAGATTTCGACTGTCCCTCGCCCATCTTCAGGACTCTTCTGCGCAAGACGCTTAACCGCACTTCGTGAGATCTTCCGAGCTCGCAGGTCTTCCCTTTCTGGCCTGGATTCTTCTCTCGGCCGCGTTCGTTCTCTGCTCGTCTGCTTGAGGGATGCGCCCTTCGAGACGGCTGCCGATACTCGCCTCTCTATCCCTCTTTGCACTGAGAATGCTTCCCTCGGAGCCCGCCGAGGTGTTCCGGGAGGACGAGCACCGGCTGCTGCTCTCCGACGGCAGCTGGCACCGCGGGCAGAAGGCCAAGATGCCCTTCGACGCCACCTGTCCCGTCACAACCGCCGTGCCCATGGGCTGCTCCCGGCAGTTCGCCTTTCAGCCACTGGAGATCTTCGGCGGTGGCTTGACGACGCCGCAGGAGGAGGCGGCCATCCAGGCCAAGGCTGAGGAGAGGGGCGGTGAGACGGACATGCTGATGGAGTTCTTTGGCAGTATGGACGGGCCCAACTGGCGGGTTAATGAGGGCTGGGAGAGGCGGTGGACGGCCATACAACAGGGGTTCATCATCTACTCAGACCCCTGCAGGGTGCGGCCGTCGAGGCGCATGCCTGAGGGCAGGTGTTGGTTATTCTTGTCTTGTGTGCGGTCAGGAGCATTGGTACGGTGTGACGTGCAACGGCGAGGGGTACGTCACCGAGATCGAGCTGGTGGACAACCGTCTTCGGGGAGCGTAAGCGCATGCGCCAAGCCCACCATGACTGAAACCACCAAAGGGTCCGTCTGTCTGTCTGTCTGCCAGGTTCCCACTGGACTTTTTCAGGGCGTTCAGATTTTTGCGTCGGCTGTGCATCGCATCGACGGCCCAAGAGTTCAATAACGTCGTCAATGAGAATCGGTGCGTCGGCGGGGGAGGGAGGTGGGTGTGCGTCAAAGCTAATGCATTATGTGTCTGGTGCCTGTCTATATCTCTGTCTGACAGGAATGAGATTGTGGGTCCGATTCCCATGAGTGTTGAGGACGCCACTGAGCTGAGGGTACTCGACGTCTCATCAAACTCCATCAAGTGGGTGGGCTTGGCTGTTCGGCACATGGGGGGAGGCATCGGGTGTGTGCGTCTGTCCGTGTGTGCGTGACGTGATGGCAGTTACTTGCCTGATGCCTTCGGGACGGCCACCCACCAGATGGAGATCCTCTCGCTGGCCAACAACAAAGTCGCCAGCCTCCCTGACTCGCTCGGTCTGCACACATACATCACCCTGCACTACTCCGTGTCTCTCACCCAAAACCTCTCACCCACCCATGCTGTCAGGCAACTTGACGAATTTGGAGACATTAGAGCTGCAGGGCAACTCAATCGCAACTCTCAGGGGGTGAGCTGGACACAGGCAGGGGAGGGAGGGAGGGAGGGATGCCTCACCCCACAGCCAGCCACCCGTCCCGTCTGCAGGAGTTTGAATGAGCTGAGGAACCTTCGGGATCTCAATCTCGCATACAACGCCATCAACGACACGCTGCCCACTGACTTCGCAAAAGACGTATGTTATGTATGTGTGCATCTTAAGGCGCTTCTGTCTCTCTCTTCCTGTTCATGGTGTGCTGTGCAGTGGGATCGGCTCAAGACACTCAACTTCCAGGACAACCCGTGGCTGCGGGGGACACTTGTCCGTCCGTATCCACTGCACTGGACAGAGAGAGACAGCACCACCGGGCATTCCCTCTTGTGTGTTGCTCCTGGCTGGTTGGCTGCAGGAGCATCTGTTGGTGTCGAACAAGCCTGACTTGCAATACATCTCCACCTGGAACACATCAATCACCGGTTGGTTCGCTCACCGACAGGGAGGCTGCCTGATTGATTCTGGATGGTTGGACGTGTGTGGACGTGTGTGTTTTGTCACTCAGGTCCGGCTGAGCCGTTTTGTCGGGACCAGCACTACTGCTACACATTCAGCTTCCGCACCGACGATAACAAATACGAGGCCGACCACACATGGGCACTGGTGAGTGTGTGGGGGCCGCACTGCACTCATCGGTGGAGTGGGTGGGTGGGCCATCCATCGGTCATTGCCTTTGTGTGTGTGCAGGAGATGACTGACACGGCGAAGGACACCGTCGACCTCGCCAACAGCACGAGAATAGATGCATTGCCATGATTGAGAGCAGAGTTTTATGGTGTGGCTGATCTGTGTTCAATGTCGGTGTAGTTGACAGACACCAGATCTCATTAATATATACCAAAAAGATGATTAAAGTCAACTCACTCATGCATCACGCCACGCAGTAAAGAGACCCACGCACCACCACACGGACACTCACCGAGAGAGACGTCTCTTCAAACAAAGCACACCACGCACAGCCGAGACGTCCGTCCATTGGAATGATTGTGGTGCACTTGCCGCCAAAGACAGTCTGTGTCTGTAGGTAGGTGTTGCGCCACCGTCATCAACAATGTTGATAGAGGATATACATGTGAGCAGGTCTCGACGCATCAATCACAAGCACAATCTCCCACCCAATGGCTGGCCGACTGGCTACACCCCTTCTGTCAATCCGACACACAGACCGCCTGAGTGATGGATGTGCCACGAGGCCGCATATCATTGACAATGGAACGAACGACCCAATCATCTGTCTGTCTGACTGTCTCTCATCTCTCACTTTAACCAATCTACTAACCAAGCAGCCAGCAGGTCGTGTCGTCTTCAGCTAGACACACAGCGGCTCGTGCGTGCGTCAGTCAGTATCTTCTCCTGTTGTCGTAGGGCGGATAGGGGAGCGGAGGGGGGCCGGGGGGACCGGGCGGAGGGTAGGGGACATCATGATATGCTGAAGGGGGGATGTATGGGGGCGGTGGCAAGATGGCCATCTTGGTGGCACCTCCCGCTGCCTTTTGCTCGTCAGCTGACGAGTCGGAGTCGCTGCTCGACGACTCACTCTCAGAGCTGCTCTCGGCGGCGGCCTTGGACTGCTCATCCTCACCACCTCCACCACCCTCTGCGTCCCCCTCACCACCAGCGTCGCCGCTCTCCTCCTTGCGCTTCTGTCTCTCCTTGTCCCTCTTCTCCCGCCGCCTTCGCTTCTTCTTCTTGCGTCGCTTCCTTTCGTGTTGGGCCCGCATCAGCTCGATCATCTCCTGCTGGTAGGCAGCGAAGTCCTGCCGACTCAACGGCTGACCGTTGGGGTACATCGGCACCTCAAAGGGTGGCGGGGGGGCCGCATGGTGGTGCATCGGCTGGTGCATCGGCGGACCGCTCCCACTCGACGATGACACGTGGCCGTTCGCCTGGTGCTGCTGCTGGGGGGATGGCATGTAGGGGTGGAATCGCACGCCGTTTGGCTGTGTGTGATGGGGCGAGGGGGCCTTGTGGTATGAGGAGGGATGGGGAGGGGGCGGCGGCGGCGGCTGCACGGGCTGCGAGCGTGAGCGTGACGATGACCGCGACGGGTGAGGCTGCTGCTCTGATGGGGGTGCGAGACGATCGCTCGAGGGACCACGGACGTCTGGGGGAGGGGGAGGAATGAGCGAATCCTGCACCGGTGACGGTGACGGTGACGGTGCGCGAGGCATGGCAGCGCTCTGAACGACCACACAGATTAAGAAGCACATGTACCCACAGTGGTTCCACACACCCATCCCAGATACCTACCTGCTGCGGCTGCTGTGGTGGTGGTGGTGGTGGGGCGGGCTGCTGGCTCCTCGTCTCATCCGGAGGTTCGCTCTTGACGCGCACACCCCCCACCTCCTCCTTCTTGACAACACCTTTCCTCTCACCCTCCTCCTTGACACCACCACCAGCGGCAGCCGCTCCCGCCACACCGTCAGCCGGGGCGCTCTGCTTGCTCACGAGGCTCTTGATCTGCTCGCGCAGAGCGAAGTTCTCCATGACGTCGGCGTGTGTGAGGGGCTGCTCGCAGGCTGGACAAGTCTTGCCGCCGGCGTAGAGGTGCTGGTGGACACAAGCGTGGCAGTAGGACGTGCCGCAGCAGCCCACGATGACCGCCTCACGGAGCAGCCGGCCACATAGGGGGCACCCGTAGCTCTGCTGCACCTCCCCCCCACCGCCCCCCAGCTGTTCGGTGAACCGCTGCTCGATGGACTTGCCGAGCACCTGGGCGGTCTTGGTCTTGTCGACGGCCTTCATGACGGCGAACGAGCCGTCGGGCAGCACGAGCAGATTCTGCTGGTCGGTCTTGTCGACCTCATCCTTGTCCACCGACTGCAGGAGACTCCGGGGGATGCCGGCGGCCGGCCGGATGCGCCGTTGGTGTTTGTTGCCGAACGAGTCCTTGTCGCCTTTGGAGGGGCAGTCCTGGATGTAGTGCCCGGGCTTGCCGCACTTGTGGCAGATGTAGTTGGGTGGCGGCGCACTCTGACCAGAGTGCCGGAAGGCGGGCAGTGGACCGCCACCTCCTCTCCCACCCCCTGGTCTCCCAGGGACGGATGACGGCTGGGAGGCCGGTGCGGGTGCGTGGTGGTCCCTGTGTGCGGCTGCTCCCCTGACCCACTTAAGGTTTTCGTTTCGCTGGTACTGGTGGAAGTTGGTAATGGCCGTCCAGGAGCCCCGCTGCTGCTCCTGGGTCTGCTTGATGACGGCGTTCAGCCGCTCGTCCTCCTCCTTGTGGCTCGGGGACATGTACTCGCCGCCCTCATCTTTGCTGTTGTCCTCTTCGCCCTTGCCCTCCTGCGGCGGTTGTGGCTGTACTTGTGATTGTGCCTGTGGTTGGTCAGCTGCGGATGCGGCCGCCTTGTCGCTGTCGGCTGGTTGGCCGGCAGATGTGGCGACAGGGAGGGTGGGAGGGGCTGCAGGCTGGCTGGGAGCGGTTGCCTCGGTCCTTGGCGCACGGGAGATGAGCACAGTGGCCACGCCATTGGCCGCGGGGGTGACGGAGTGCTGGTCATCGAGGACTGCGTTTGTGGAGGGGTCCGATAGGGTGAGTTCGAAGGCGTGGAGGTCCACCTTGAGTAGCTGCGCTATCTTGTGCTTCAGCTCCGACACATAGGCGGGCAGGTCGACCTTGATGGCTTTGAACCGCTTCTCGTTGCGGAACTTGAAGCGCAGCTGGGACGACATCCTCGCAATGCTCTGCCCCTTGTCCTTTTGCCACTAGCTCGCATCCTGTTTCACAGTGTGTCCTATGCCACCGCTGCGACCGTCTGATAGGTGTTTTCCCATTTCTCGCGTCACGTCAGACGGGCGAGTGTTCGGATCTGCCATCTCGAGCGTTGATCTTCGTTGCGCTTTGCTCGCAGCACACCACCCACTGGCAGCGCAGCGTGTGCATCGGGTAGGTATCATGTTTGAGGCGGTGTTACCTCGAGGGAAGACACTCAAGGACATCTTCAATGGACTCAAGGTGAGCCGACACGACGCAGCTTCGCACAACACATGCACCACATGCGCCTCGCCCATGGCATGTGCACGTCGGTGTCTGTGTGATGTGATATGGATGTGCTGCTGTTGTGGTGTGCAATGCTGCAGGAGCTCATCACTGACCACGTATGCGCTGCATGCACACGCGCCAGATGCTGCATGTGATGTGGGGTGGGCTGCACGAGTGGAGTGACTGTCTGTCTGTGTGCAGGTGAACGTCGACGTGTCGACTGACGGCATCAAGCTGCAGGCCATGGACAGCTCACACGTGGTGGGTGGGTGACAAAAGAATGATTGATCGGTCGGCTTAGCGTGCCTGTGCTGTGCTGTGCTGTGTGTGAAGAGCATGGTGTGTTTGGACATGACGGTGGACTGCTTCACGGTGTTCCGGTGCGACCAGCAGCAGATGACTCTGGGGCTCAACATGAAGAGCGTCACGCAGATCCTCAAGCTGTGTGGCAACGACGACACCGTGACGCTCAGCTGCGACGACGACCCCCAGAGACTTACCTTCAAGTTCGAGTCGGGTGAGTCAGTGAGTGCGCCCCGCCCCGCCCCGCCCCATCCACACACACACACACACCCATCCATCCCCCCAGCCACCCACATGGGTGTTCGTTCTGTCTGTCTGTCTGTCTCTCTGTCTGTTTTATGTCTGTCAAGGTGAGGACCGTGTGAGTGAGTTTGAGATGAACCTGATGGAGATCGATGCCGAGCACCTGGGCATACCCGACACCGACTTCCAAGCTGAGGTCAGCCCACACTGCTGGGTTGATGTGAGTCGATGGACGGATGGATGGATGGATGGATGGATGGATGGGCACATGTGTGTGTGTGTGTGTGTGGCCGTGTGTGTGTTCCTCCACCAGATCACCATGGCCAGCAAGGAGTTCGCGTCAACCGTCAAGGACCTCGGAGGCATGGGCGACAACGGTACCTGCGCGCACCCACAACCACACACCTACACACCTACACACCCACACTGAGCCACACGTCTTGGGTGACCATGCGGACCTCTCGCTCTCTCTCTGCGTATATGTATGTGTGTGTGTGTGTGGTGTCGATTGACTGCAAGAAGGGCAAGGTGGCCTTTGGCGTCACCTCGGTGGAGGGGAATGTGGGCCATGGCAACATGTTATTCAAGCATAACCCATACGCTGAGGTCGATCGACAGACAAGACCCACACGACTCACAGATACAGAGAGATGATCTGTCTCTCCCTGCGTGTGTGTGTGCAGAAAAACCCTGTTAAGGTGATTGTCAAGGATGAGCTCCGTCTCGAGTTCGCCGCCAAATACCTCCAGGCAGCCAAATCCCACTCACAGACATCACATCAGTCCACGCAAGTCGATTCTGCTGCCTCTGTGTGTGTCTCTCTCTGTGTGTCTCTGTGTGTGTTGTGTGCGGGCAGTACTTCGCCAAGTCGTCGCCCCTGAACGAGGAGGTCAAGCTCGGCCTGCACCTGGATCAGCCCCTCGTCGTGCAATTCAACCTCGACGTAAGTGCGTATGACTCACCCACCCCACCCCACCCCACCCCACCTGGCATGCACACACACACGCAGGGAGGGAGGGAGGGAGGGAGGGGTGGATCAACGCTGGAAGTATCTATCTCAGTGGTCTCTATCTCAGTAGGTGTGGATGTGGTGTTGTGTTGTTCGGTGTGTTGACTTCCTTCCTTTCGTTCAGGAGAAGAAGGCCAACCTGGGGTCGCTCAAGTACTTCCTGGCGCCCAAGATCAACGATGACGACCAGTGACGACCTACCGATGAGACATCGGCCTATCGCCCCACCCCTCCCCC